TTGCTAGGTACATTTTGGGTAGATATGTCGAGTTAGTTACCTTTTTACTTAAATCCCGCCAAGTTAGATTGCTTTTCCTGAATTTTATATCCTGTACTTGTTAAGTTTACCTTTTTCGGATATTTATGTACAGTCCAACACGGCCCAACCCAGGAGGCGGAGGAGAAACTTGTGCAGAAACTGGTATCAATATTTTCTTCACTAAGGTAGGTCAATGCTATCTTTGGGGCTCAAAACCCAGTACAACTTATAATTAATCGTTTGGTTCGATGTAATTGAAATATATTATTGATTTACCTGGGTAATGTCTTAACTGTCACTCTGTGATGGTTTTCCACAGATTAATAAATTGGCTGCTGTCAGAATCAACGGAATGGTGGAAAGGCTTCAACTTTCGCAGCAAATAAGGGAGAGTGTATATTGTCTCTTCCAACATGTGCTTGCTCAGCGGACTTCTCTTTTATTTAATCGACACATCGACCAGATCATTCTCTGCTGCTTTTACGGAGTGGCCAAGGTGAGCAGATTGATCCAGGGTCTTAACTTTATGGTGTCTGGTTTATGGTGGCTTCTCTTCCGCTTACACTTTTTTTCATATGAACCACCCTGTAGATATCCCAAATGAGCCTCACCTTCAGGGAAATCATATACAACTATCGGAAGCAGCCACAGTGTAAACCACTAGTCTTCCGCAGCGTTTTTGTGGATTCCGTACAGTGTCGCCGTCAAGGGGTAAGTATTTGCATCCTTAACTTTAAGTTGAACAAGTCTCGTTTCTCTGCGGAGAAGACTAAAACTTGTGACAATGACTTGTGTAACAGAGAGTAGGGCCAGATCATGTTGACATCATCACATTCTACAACGAAGTATTTATTCCCGCCGTAAAGCCGTTGCTGGTGGAGATAGTTCCTGTGAAGAACGACCAGGCTATGGAGGCCAATAATAAGCCTGAAGGTAGTGAAGAAATGCTAGGTTCTTGTTAGACGTTGAGCTATATCCATGAACGCACTCCCTAAGTTAATTGATTGTCTTGTATTGGATTTACAGGTCAATGTCCTGGATCGCCAAAGGTATCGGTGTTTCCAAGTGTTCCAGACATGTCCCCTAAAAAAGTATCTGCAGTGCACAATGTTTATGTTTCTCCTCTTCGAGGATCAAAGGTAAAGAGATCCTAGTCGTCCTTAAACTCTTTTATCATGATATGACCAAATTTTGAGGAGGAATCAGGTGACAAAATCGTTTTGGTTGTGTGTTTGCAGATGGATGCTCTTATTTCACACAGCTCAAAAAGTTACTATGCTTGTGTTGGAGAGAGCACACATGCTTACCAGAGCCCTTCGAAGGACCTCTCTGCCATCAACAACCGCTTGAACAAGTAAGTCAAAAAACGCATCTATCATCAAACTTCTTCCAGATATACATAAGATCTAATATCTCATCTGGTGTCACAGCTGCAGCAGCAACCGAAAGAGGACGCTGAACTTTGACGTAGAAGCAGGACTGGTCAGCGACTCCATGGTAGCAAACAGCCTTTGCCTCCAAAACAAAAACCAAAATCAAATCCAAAATGGAAGCGATGCATCGTCTTCAGGTGGTGCACCCCTTAAAACCGAGCCACTGGATTCATGAATCCTTTCCTAGAGAGTTTGTTTGCAACGAGTCATCTGTATATCCTTTTCTAGAGAGTTTTTATTTTATTTTTTATGTTTAGCTTTCTAGTGATCACCTCAAGCTATGAGCGGATGGATCCCTTTTATTGTTTTTCTCTTTCTTCAAAATTAAGTCAGTCCCTAATAAGCGTTAATAATATATTTTTCTTAGTTTCTATTTCTTTATTTTAGGGTTCTAATAATATTTATGTCAAACGCTTAATAACTAACCGATAACTCAAATGATTCACTTGTTGTATTCAAGTTCATCGAAGGCTAAAGTGTGAATATAACAATGCGCAGGATTTAGTAGAAATAAGTTTTGACTATTTAAGCGTAAAGGCCATTATTACCTTCAATATGACTCACTCTGGCCTTTCATTTACATCGATTCCAACTCTCAATTAATTTACGCCACAAGCCGGAAATTTGGAATTTACTGCTTTAACAATCGACTTAACCAAGCTTTTCAAATTTAGAAATTTTACTAACTATATAAATAATGAAGAATGCTGCAAACTGTAAATCCTCGTACTCGTTGTAGACCAAAAATGGAGGAAAAGAGTATTACATTTGGGTACAATCACATTCATAGGTTAAATATCTGAACCGGCCAACGACGCTTCTGACCTTTTGAGCCTACCCCTGTAGCCTCTAATGAGACGTCGATGCTGCGATGCTCCGGCGCTCGAGCAACACTCACACGCAGATGAATGCTTGAGACGGGACATTCTTCTGTTCCAATGGCTCCTCGTCTATCATCACCAGACAGAAACGTGGCTGGTGCCACTGCGATTGGTTCTTGGAAAGTCAAGACCGTTTGTGCCCAATGTGTTGGGGGAGTGTAAGGTGATGTGGATAGTACGGTTGGATTTTCCTTGCAGAACCTATCTGTGAAACCTGTGTCGAACCACAACACAACACCGTGGCACAGCCTAGTTTCTGCTTCTGACTCGGTTGGCTCCAGCGTTGCGGTTGCAGTGAAATCTACTTCGTCCGGTTTCATGGTAGCCAGGTCAAACGCCTACAAACAAAGCAACACGGCAATTCAAGGAAATTCATTTCGGGAAAGTTCTTCTAGCGGGAAACAGATAAAGGTTGAGCTTTCAAACCTGGAGAAGGGCAGGTCGAGTCACTAAATCACGCTCCTCTATAACGTCAACAACCGGATTTCGAGCAGTATCTTCAAGAATCTCCTTGCCAATTGAAGACATGTCAAAGCCATAAACATCTTCCCAGAAAGCAAGACTTGTGGCGCCTCTCCCAAATCCCGCAACAAACTGATCCAATAGATAAAGTTCATCAAGATGATTTCATAAGAGAAAAAAAAACATTTGGAGAGAGAGAGAGAGAAAAAAAACAATTACCATTGTGGCTGTGTCGGGGAGGATTGCACCTCCAGGTTTCAACCAGCGATCTCTTGCATAGAGCACAGAGCTAAGCATTGACTCATATAGAAGGCAGTATCCCATCCATTCGCTGACTAACACATCAACACTTTGGGGTTGAATCTGTATCGACTTATCTAGCTCTTCAACCATTGAGTGTGCAACTTCAAGTACCCCATTATGCTCGTTATCATTAAACACTTTGTTATCTTTGGCAATCTGTCAGAAAAAAATATTGTTCAAATGGGAGAAGAACTAATACATTAGAAATACAAAAATAATGATAAACTTTTTAGAAAGTAGAGAAAGCTAACCTTCGTTGCAACTTTGGCCATCTTCTCACTAGCTTCAACTGCAACGACCCTTGAAGCCCCAGCTTGAGCAGCAAAGAGACTGCACGCAATGGGAAAAATGGTAAAAAGAAATGTATATTACTCCTTTGCAACTAGGCTATCGCATTCAAACAATCGACATATAGACAGGGAATTATCTGCTAACTGACCTCAATATCCCAGTACCACAACCAACATCCATTACAACAGAGCCACACAAGAGACTAGGATTCTTCAATAGTGCATCCCTGTACGCTTCTGTCCTTACCTGTTAAGGAGTTAAACCAAAATGAATACTTCTAACAGTATGACAAACTTTCTCACATATTTGCAGGTCAGTTAAATGTTGACATGATTCCAGAAAATTCATTGTACCTTATCGCTTATCATCTCCTTGTGAATGCCGAATGAACTATAAGATCCAAAATAGTTTTCGTTCACCTTTCTGATGTTCCTACCAACTAGCCTCCCATCACAAACTCTTGGCTCTTTGTCTTTCCCATCGACAGTCAAATCATCCGCGGAACTTTCCTTCATGCCGTTGCAGTTCGAGAGCTGAGTAACATCCTTGCTTCCATTTAGATTGCAGTTGCCATTGTTTGACGCCGAGCTTTCCCCTAGAGCCTCATCATCAATGCTTAAATTCCCAAGCTTCTGCAAATCCTGCATCAGTTCCTCTCTGTCTAACGGCTCATCTTCTTCGTCTTCCCCATCATCCGCAAAGCTGTACAAAAGAGAATCCTCCTGCCAAAAGGGCTTCAGATACTTCTCTTCATCCCAAGGAAACTTAACATCTTTGAAATCGACAGCTTCGAGTACAATCCCCCAACTCCAACATTTGTTCTCAGCCACCTAATAGACATAAAAGGAACCAACTTTATCAAATAAGCAAAAAATTCGATGAAAGGGAGCAAAAAAAAAGACGGAAATTTTACAAACCTGTGACCGAATGTAGTTGATGAGCTTAAACGAAGCGTAGAAATCCAGCTTCAGTTCCTTTCGAACTCCATGAAAATCGAACCCGTGGCTCAGAAGACAGTGATCGAAGAGTAAATCACAGGAAACGTAGCGAGAATCGCAAAACAAACAGAGAAAATCAGATTCGGAGCCGTCAGCATCCCCCTCATCGCCTACGCCATTATCATCTGCTTCCCAGTCTCCCCAGTCTCCATCGTCTGAGTAGTTTTCTTCTTCATCATCGCTGTAGTTGAGAAGCTCGTCCTTCACCATCGTTGTCGCCGCAGCCATGAGAAAAATATGATTTGTACGGCGCCAAGCTAAGAGAGGTTTAAGAAGCGGGGACACCCCGGCGGGATGGAATAGCTAATGACCTTTTTACCCTTACACAGAAACCAATTGGTTCAATCAAATCTGACCTTAACCAGAGAGTAAACCGAAACCTGAAAATAATTACGACTTGTTTTTAGTTACAAATTCTCCCCCAGAAGTCTTGACTTGATCGATTAGGCCCATTTTGATTTCGACACGCAGTAGGAAACGACGTCGTCAAAGCTGTGGAAGCATTTCAGATGCTTCTTTCTCAAATCGATTTTAGTAGCACTTTTCTCAAATCCTCTTGGGGCTCTCTCTTATCTCAGAAAGAGAAAATTCTCGATTTAGCGATTCAACAGCGTAGATCAGATGTCGGCGCCTTTCACGTTGAGGAAAATCGGTGTTCCGCCGAACTCAGCGAACCTGACGGAAGCTCGCCGCCGTGTTTTCGATTTCTTCAGAGCTGCCTGTAGATCCCTTCCTACCGTCATGGACATTTACAATCTTCAGGATGTCGTCGCGCCTTCTCAGCTCCGCTTTGCAATCTCTGCTCAGATTCGGAATAACGCTCACATCACCGACCCTAAGGTACTATCACCTAATATCACTCTGATTATAACCCCTTGGAAGAATTTATTTTGTCATCAAATTGGTGAAAGTATTCACATTGACGAAAGATTGAGTCTTTTGTCTTGAGCTACATTGTTTCTATGGTGTTTAGTAGAATGTATCCGCGTTCTGTGGCACTTTTGACTTGGTTTTATGTTTGAAAGTTGAAAGCTTTACCTTCTACCATTTGGATGTATGAAAGTAGTCTAATCTTATGAATAATGAATTGACTTGTGGCTTGTGGTTCCTTTTGTATGTGACATTGGAAACTTTTTTCTGAATGTTGAGATTTGCTTGTCTGGCGATTTCAATTGAAGGCAGCTTCTTGAGTTTTGTTTGTAGAATGGAATCTGTTCCTGATGATATTGCTGCTTCTGCAGGTAATTGATCTTCTTCTATTCAAGGGAATGGAAGAGCTGACTGACATCGTGGATCACGCAAAGCAGCGTCACCACATCATCGGTCAATACGTGGTCGGTGAAGGGCTCGTGCAGAACACCGGAAGCAAGGACCAAGGAAAGTCCGATTTTCTCAAGAATTTCTACACCAGCAACTACTTTTGAACTGGTGATGTTTTCTTTTCGAGTTTCACATAAAGCTCTAATCTTTCCAGTATTGTATTTTCGACTTTAGGAAGATTTCTTCTTCCCGAAAATAATAAGACCTTTTTTCCATTTGTATGAGTAATTTCTCTCAGATTCCGGCTGGTTATACGTAGTACTAGCCAAAACCTCTGTAAGATTTAAAATCTGTGACAGTGTTTGCTGTGCGAAAAAATGTTGCTATGATTACAAGATCAACATAATCTGCTCTCTTTTCTTTTCTTTAACTCGTAATATAAATTGAATTTGTCTGTTTTGAGTTATAATCATCATACAATCCAAGTGTTCCCTTAAAGGATCCCATCTTCTGTCATGTTGGCTACTACGACCTTACACTGATGACCTATCCGCTTTCAATATTCAAAGACCTATAAACAACATTCACTCTCTCTATAAACTACGCAACCTGATGGCTAAAGATTACAACACACACACCACACTCAAGTCTTTGGGAGGGGATCTCAGAAAACCATTTGCAAAATCTGCAGTCTTCTCTCCCAAAATATTGCTTATGGTGAGAATCTGCGAAGGCCTTGCTTTGTGATCTCTTGGAAGGAGTATCCCTGCAGATTTGAGTCATAAGATTATGTATAGAGCTGAGCAGAGCCACTAATCTTGTGTTTCACTCTCGTGGCCGGGCAAGCCACAAGGAACTAAGAGCACGTAGGCGAGATGAATAATCGTGTATGGCAAGAAGAGCACGAGCTGACTGACGCGTCGTCAACACTCTAATCATCTGTTGCAGCGTTTGCAGCCTCAAGTTATCAGCCTGCCACCAAGAAACGCCCTATGAACTCCTTTAACACACAGATGCCTATATATAAGATGTATCTCTGTTCAATTATAGGATATATCTCACGATAACATCCACATTTCAAAATGTACCTGGCGGATGAATCCTTCGAGGGTGCCTAACTGCCCCATCGCCATGGCCATCTGACCCATGTAGCTCGCGACATTATCAGATGAACTGGAACCAAGAGTTCCACTAGATAACGTATCAGCTAAAGATTGCTGTAAACTCTCCATCCCTTGAGATAACGCATCTTCAGCCTGCTGGGACGTCTGCTGCAAGCTATTTATGCCCATCACCTGTCGTTCTGTCATTGGCTCCAGCTGATTCACAAGAAGCTGTTGTGAACAACATTTTGAGTCATTAGAGTTGGTCTGTTCATCAAGTATTTCTATATGGAACATGTAAAGAGCTCACCTTGAGAAGTTCTGATGAACGGAACCCGCCAAGCCACAAGAAACATCTCTCAGCTGGTGTTTTCCACATTCCAGATAGCAAGTGGAAGACGTCATTTTTAGCTGCGTTGCTCTTGATCCTGAAAAGCTCCTCATAGTGAGCCATCACTCCATCCACTATTATCCGGAGCTCAGAGTCACCTGCGTGAGCATTCAGAGCAGATCTCAGCTCGTTCATTTGCTTGTTCTTCTCTTCAAGCCATCGCGAATGTTCCGCATCAAATGCCAATGCCCCTGCAAAAAGAGAAAATAGACAAGATCAAGAATAAACCTTATCGTCTTTAAGAAGCCTTAGCAGATTGCCTATAAATTACAAGCCAAAAAGATCAATCTGAAAACTAATGGAGATGAGAAAAACCACCATTTCCACCAGTAGAATGGGCTTGGTCTCCTGAGCTTGAGATGAAAACGCCCTAATAAGAAAACTCAACAAATTATCATTTATGTATGCAGAAGTTACAAATACATATCATGGCAAAGAACCTTATAAGAGAACCAGAGAAGAATTCTCTTTATTCCTTCAACATCCGATGAAGAAAAACCAGAAAAGTCTACGGAACAATTCGAGAGAACTACCATTCACCTTTACCAAACAAAACTTATAACGACCACATAATCGGTTTTTTCTCCTCTAATCCAAGACTCTACTAACTCATTAACCAACTCTTAGCTATAAGTTGGAGTGGCATTAGGCCTTGGCTGAAGTGAAGTCTCTTCTATCTTCCTCGCGATGACGTACTAATCAGAATCAAACCAAATAGGAAAGCAAAATTAAACCTGCTGTCTTGCTCTTTGCAGCTCCTGCTCAAGTTGAGTCAGCTTCAATCGGCTGTTCTCCAGCTGCTGAACATACGCCTATGGAGGAAACGATCAAAATGCGTAAGGCAATGAGTAAATAGAGATTCTTATAGAGATGCTGCAAGGAAGTAAGAGGGATATCTAGGAAAAATCAAAACAAGATATACCTTCTTCCTCAATCTGCTTTTTCTTGCTGCCTCTCGATTTTGAGCAAGCCTACGAAGAGTCTATAGATCAAGATAAAACGGAACAAGAACATTATGCATATGCGCAATATAAACAGATACTTGTTGATCCACAGCGATGAATTTATCACCTTTTGATCCAACTTATCCTTTGATCGATCACTGGAATCGGAAGCAGCAGGGAGCATCAGATTCCCTCTCTCGGACTGCATGTAATTAAGATAACGAATTAGTCCTGTGGATTTGGCTCTACCGGTACAATGTCCCAAGGGGACCCGGTTCAAGCCTTCCCACGAGTGACATTGTAGAGAAAATTCAAATGATTAGAGCAAGATTACGAGCTAACCCCCAGATCTCTAGGATCTGTGTCGCCATCAGTTGAGACATCAGTCCTTGAACTGGTATCAGCCATATTGCTGTATATACTAATACTTGATGCAAGAGACTATCCACTTGTGCTCCCTTTTGCAGTGGCAATCTCTGCGATTTGTCTCTGGTGCAGAGTTTTTACACTAGCGGGAGAAAAGACTGCCGAGAGGAAAGAAAAAAAAGATGCAGACAAAAGAAATTAACAGATAGCAGAGACAGAGAACATGATAACAGCAGAGAGAAGCTAAATCACACCTTACCAAAACAACCAATATGAATGGATAAGGTACAACCAGTGAACCATTGACTGAGCTGAATGAAAAAAAAAATATACAGTTTAAGTACTATCTCTTTTACTACCACAGTTTTTGTATAATCCAGACAAAGTTTATATACAGGATTCTGTTTTACGATACTGGATAAGAACAAAGGAACCTTCATGATATCAAGAGAAAAAGGTTTAAGGGCGTTTTTCTAACAGAGGATCAGATCTTCGCATCTGTAAGAAACTCCCTAGATACCAGAGACGAAGAGGAAATCTAAGAGTTCATGCCACAAAAGCTAATTGAATTATCGTAATATTTGATGTGTGTGAGAGAGAAAACGATACAATTCCGTAGCGAATTTAAAATGTTGCTAGACAAACTATAGTAGTGACTAAACTACGCAATAGAACACTAGCGTGCATCAAACTAAGTCCAAATCCAATACCAAAGCAACTCATTAAGGCACCGAGAAGAAAGCAAACTTTGATAAAAGTAGTTCCGCAAAGTCCGAAACCCCTCAAAAGAAAATCTACGTTTAGACATTACTCTTAGCCAACAGATCTAACATAGGTAACTCCGACGACAAAACACTGCCTCAGCTTGAATTTAGGCACACTCAATACAAATCAACCGGCTTCAGTCACATTGCAATAGCTTAAATACTTGAGTCTCTTAGTTAGGAATTGGAGTAAAAAACAAGACAACGGTTCAAGTACTAGCATCAACTGAAACAAAACTAACACAAGCGAGAACTATAGAGCAGCAGCTCATCACTCAAATCAGCATCTCACGAACGAGGATTCAAAATATGCTCTCCGAACAGAATTCAACAGAAGCACATCAACATATGAAATCCAAGAATTCCTCAGAGAATTCGATGGGTTTGGTTGCCAAAAAAGTCATCAAATGGACAAAAGTTGGAAACTTTCAAAAACTTCTGAAAGTCAACTACGGTCTTAATTTACAAAGCAAAACACGAAGTGGAAAAAAGTAAGCTTTCCAATGACTAAAGCAGAACAAAGAACGAGGAAACTCCAAAAAAGGAGAAAGGAACAAAAAAAGAAAAAAGAAACCCTTAGCTAAAGAGCTTGGGTTAAGGAAGAAGCTGACCTGAAAAATGAAATCTTTTGTCCGAGTAAAAGGTTGTCCGAAATCGGATTGAAGGAAGAAGCAGAGAGAGACACGATCCGTAATTTCAATCTCCGAGACGTCGTTTTGCCTACAATCCCACCATCCCCAAAAGAACATCGATAAATTTAACGGAAAATTGCATACTAAACCCCATACTATTCTTATTTTCTTATTAGCTTCAACGAACTCTATATTCTCAAAAATTACAAAATCACCCCATATAGTTTCCTCATCTATCATTATCATCCCACTTTTCGTCATTGAACCGGTTCAAATGGTGGGTGGGTCAGTCCGGTCTTTTAGGCAACGTTAGATAGTTTGTCTTTGACCGGTTTGCTCCCATGTGCCAACTCCAAGTCTCCAAAGCACTTTACACGCGACTTTGTCCCTTCTACGTGCATCCTCACATGCGACTACCTATCCGGTATTTTTTCGGTTTAGATATGGCAATCGATCGGTTTATATGTTCAAACCAATACCTAACTGAAAAAGCTTCCATTCTTTTTTTTGGGTCAACGCCTCTGTTTTGATTTTGAGTGTAAATGATGTTTTGGTCATAACAACTCAAAAACTACAACAAAAATGGGTTCTTGGATGCTCAAGCTGATACAGCTGCAACTTGTGCTTGTGCTGATTCAGCATGCTGATTCAGGTTCCATCATCAGATATCTTCCTGGTTTTGAAGGCCCACTGCCTTTTGAACTTGAAACCGGGTTCTCTGTTCCTCTTCATCTCATGCTTCATATTATTATCCTTATATTTGTATGACTCTCTGTCTTCTGACTTTTGGAGTTTTCATCATTGTAGGTACATTGGTGTTGGTGAGGCAGAGGAAGACCAAATGTTCTACTACTTCATCAAATCTGAGAGCAATCCAGAGGAGGACCCTCTTCTCGTCTGGTTAACAGGAGGACCTGGCTGCTCTTCTTTCTCTGGCCTTGTTTATGAAAATGGTAAATCTTTCCTTCTTTAACTCATTCTTCTTTTGTCTCTGCAGAATTTTCTTAATGACTTTGCTTGAATTGGAAAAAAAAAACAATCAGGACCTCTTGCTTTCAAGGTTGATGCCTACAATGGAAGTATACCTTCCTTGGTCTCTACTACATATTCATGGACTAAGGTTACACACAAAGTGATTTCACATGACAGAGAACTTTTTTTTATTTCATCTTCAGTTTTAAGATCATTGCTTCTTCTCAGGTGGCGAATATAATCTATTTGGATCAGCCTGTTGGAACTGGCTTCTCCTACTCAAGAAACCCACTTGCTGATATACCAAGTGACACTGGAGCAGCTAAGCGGGTCGATGAGTTTCTCCGTAAGGTAAAAAGAAAACTCAAATTGTCCATTAAAGCATCAGCTCCCTTTATGCATAGACTTATGGAGATTTTGTTATTCTTTTGCAGTGGCTAGACAAGCATCCTGAGTATTTCTCCAATCCTTTCTATGTCACTGGAAACTCTTATTCTGGTAAAGTGATTCCAGCCATCGTTCAAGAAATCTCAAACGGTAAGTTTTAAGTATTTCACTACAATCTTGATTTGCAAGTCCTTTTATTTGACTCTTGTTTCTTGACAAGTTATTTCACCAAACTATCACAGGAAATTGTATATGCTGCAAACCTCAAATAAATCTTCAGGTTCATTAGTATTTTCTTGCTTCTTACATGATATCTATATAACTCATCGAGCAATAAGAATTGAAGAGTTTTGTTTGCCTCTCCAAAAAACAGGGCTATGTTCTTGGAAACCCTGTAGCAGACACTGATCAACATCATAACTCTCGCATTCCATTTGCTCATGGAATGGCACTCATCTCTGATGAACTCTATGCTGTACAATTACAAAATCTAGGATTTCTTTTTTTTTATATAATGTTTTTGCCACAATGAAGTAATTAACGACTATTTCAACACTCTTACTTTTGTAGTCGATGAAGAGAAGCTGTGGAGGAATTTATTTTAATGTGGATCCTCTTAACACAGAATGCTTGAAACTCGTTCAAGATTTCAAGAAGGTACACACATTATGGAATCCAGTGCACCATGAATTGCGATACAATGGTCAATCACTAACTTAGAATATCTGTGGTTTGTTTACAGTGTGTTTCTAGCATATATGAAGAACTTATTCTAGAATCAAACTGTGACACTACATCTCCTGATTGCTATGTAAGCTTCTTGATATCTTTAAAAATCAATGACTAGTCGCCACTTAACTACATCTCATGTTGCTTTTGTAGACGTATCGATATTCGCTATCCGAATACTGGGCTAATAACGAGAGTGTACGCAGGGCACTTAATGTGGTGAAGGTATATATGACAAGTTTATATATGATCATTTGATAAAATCTGATGACCAAAACAAACTCTATGAGAGGATTTTGATTGCAGGGGACTACAGAGAAATGGGAACGATGTAACTATAATGTGCATTGCAATAAAGATATTAGGAGCAGCATACCATACCATATGAATAACAGCATTGAAGGCTATCGATCTCTCATCCTCAGGTACACAAACTTCTTTACAGTCTATTGTTCTTGTTAACACCATTGTTAATTTCTGATGTGGGATCGGAACAGCGGTGATCACGATATGACAATCCCTTTCCTTGCAACTCAAGACTGGATTAGGTCTTTAAACTTTTCCATTATTGAGAAATGGAGGCCATGGATGGTACTCAATAAAGTCGCTGGGTATACCATTTTTCTTTTTCTTTTTCTTATTGGTCTCTTTTATTCATGTTGTATAAGGCTTCTCATCAACATTCTTATTTCCAGATACACCCAAACTTATGCTAATAAGATGACATTTGCTACTGTGAAGGTAACTCTTTTTTATCCAACAATTATATTGACATTAATGCAAAGCTTTTCTTAAATAAGATTTTCTTGATTGGTTTATAGGGAGGTGGGCACACGTTAGAGTATAAACCAGAGGAAAGTTCAATACTGTTCAAGAGGTGGATAAGTGGCCAGCCTCTCTAAACTCATAAAATCTCAACCTTGAAGTGAAGTGATTTGATTAATCTCAACTTCTGTAACAGCCTATCATATCCTCTGTTTTTTTTTTTTTTTTTTTTTTTTTTGTCTTCTTCTTCTTCTAAAATGCATTCCCCTAACTTCGTGATTATTACAACAACAACCTTGTATGTGTTAGTTACATCAAGACCCTAAGCAAGAACAATCTGCTTTCTTTCAACCTTGTCTGTGATAGTGCACGTGGTATCAAGTGTCAACAATATTAGTAAACGTATCAAACCTTATAAATATCCTTTCTTCACAATAATAAAACACCAACATACAGTATTTAAAAACAGATTTATTTCCTTCCATGTTTCTTCCTAAAATCAATAAGAGCCATGCATGGTCAAAATTTTCAAACATGACAGAGGGGTTGGTATGAGTAGAGAGACAGAGTAGGTTTGCATGGGTTCATTATTGTAATTCATTCGTGCCACTGCCAAGTGGCAACTGCACCACATGCATCTGCCTCTCGGTTTTTAATTTTATTTTAACACAAACATGTTTATGGTCCCTAATTGTCATAATTTACTCAGAAACTCAAAGAACACAATGGGGATCAAGTTGCTGCTTCTTCTTCTCCCGCTTGTGTTGATTCAGCACGCTGATTCTGGATCCACCATCAGATATCTTCCTCATTTTCAAGGCCCTCTTCCTTTCGAGCTTGAAACCGGGTCTGTTTCTCTTCACCCCCATCTCCATATATATAGTAGATGAATCTGTCTTCTGACTTTTGGAGTTAAAATCATTCAGGTACATTGGTGTTGGTGAGGCAGAGGAAGAACAGATGTTCTACTACTTCATCAAATCTGAGGGAAACCCAGAAGAAGACCCTCTTCTTGTCTGGCTAAGCGGAGGACCTGGCTGCTCTTCTCTCTCTGGCCTTCTTTTTGAGAATGGTTTATTTCTAAATTCCTCTCTTTTTTTTTCTTTTTCTTCTCTCCACAAAGATTTTGATGATTTTTTTTTTGAGAAAAAAGCAGGGCCTATGACTTTCAAGATTAAGTCTTACAATGGAAGTACACCTTCCATGGTCTCTACTACATATTCATGGACTAAGGTTACACACAAAGTGTATTCATATGAAACAGAATTCTTTATTAATCATCTTCAGTTTTAAGATCATTGCTTCTTCTCAGGTGGCGAATATAATCTATTTGGATCAGCCTGTTGGGGCTGGCTTCTCCTACTCAAGAAACCCACTTGCTAGTGATATAGCAAGTGACACAGGATCAGCTAAACGGGTCCATGAGTTTCTCCGTAAGGTAAAGGGAAAACTCTAATTGTCTCAAGCATTTATATGTATTTAATGCATATATATGGTGACTGTTGTGCAGTGGCTAGCTAAGCATCCTGAGTTTCTCTCCAACCCCTTCTATGTCGCCGGAAATTCTTATACCGGTAAGGTGGTTCCGGCCATCGTTCAAGAAATCTCAAACGGTAAGTTTCTTTTTTTTATATATCACTTGAATACTGACTTACAAGCCCTTTTCTTCGAGTCTCTTCTTTTCTTGATCTAGTTCACTTTTCATCGCAGGAAATGGTTTATGCTTTAAACCTCAGATAAATCTTCAGGTTCGTTGGTACTATTGCGTTTGTTTCTTATAATATACCTTAGAGTCTTGTTGCACACTCTCTACGCTGACCAAACAACAGGGTTACGTGCTGGGAGATCCACTAACAGATCTTGATAACAATCGTAACTTGCGCATTCCATATGCTCGTGGAATGGCTCTCATCTCTGAAGAACTCTATGAGGTACCAATTTACTATGTCTATGTGATGTTTTTTTGTTTTGTCACCCCAATTAATAAACTAAATCAAATTCATTCTTTGCAGTCGCTGAGGAGAAGCTGCAGAGGAAACTATGTTAAAGTGGACCCTCTTAACACAGAATGCTTGAGACTCGTTCAAGACTTTGAAAAGGTAGAGAGATCAGATACACACTCTCAAATATAAAGATAAGTGACTAATATAATTCAGGCTTTGTGCTTTGCTTACAGTGTATTTCTGGAATAGATGCAACATATATTCTAGGACCCAAGTACAAAGACGCAGCTAATCCCTATGAAACCAATCCGTATGCGCATATCATGTCTCTGCAGTCTAGCAGCTGGGCCAACGAGGAGAGTGTACGCAGAGCCCTTCAAGTGCACAAGGTATGTATATGATTACAAGTTTCATATTAGATCGTTTGGTAACTAAAAAGGCTTTGCTGGATGGTAATGAAACCGTGATTACAGGGGAGTGTAGGAAAATGGTTACGATGTTATCGGGAAATACCTTACAGGTATGACGTTATAAGCAGCGTACCATACCACAAGAATAACAGCATCCAAGGATACAGATCTCTCATCTTCAGGTCCACAACTCTTTATACTTCTGTTATAAAGGATTCAAGATTTTGTAACACAAAATTTCGCATGGTGTTCCTGGTGAAACAGTGGGGATCAAGACATGCTTGTCCCTTTCCTTGCGACTCAAGACTGGATAAGATCTCTCAACTATTCCATTGTTGATCACTGGAGGCCATGGATGATTCAAAACCAAGTCGCTGGGTATATATATATATATAACTTTTTCTTTTTGTCTTGGATTCTCTCTTGGTCATTCTCATCAAAATAGAGACACAACCTGATTCTTTGCAGATACACAAGGACTTATGCCAATAAGATGACATTTGCCACTGTGAAAGCAAGTCTACGTTCTATTATATATTTACAAAAAAGGAAAGAGCTTCTTTGTACTTGAGTTTCTGAGTTCTTGTTGGCTTGGTTTGTAGGGCGGTGGTCACACGATGGTGTACAAACCAGAGGAGTGCTATGTGATGTTCAAGAGATGGATTAGTGGCCAGCCTCTGTAACAGCTTATCAGCGATGTGGTTGGAAATGAAATCTCTGAAAATTCTTGATTTAGTGATTTATAAATAAATCTATCTTTGTGATTGAGCCCTAATTAAGGGGCAACTTCAATGATTCGGCCAAGCACTCAGAATATGGATAGACATACTGTACCACCAACAGTTGCTCAAGTTCGACCTTAAAATTGATAGAACACAAATCAGATGAAGTCAATAAGTGATCCCTAAGTTTCAAGGGATAATTTTTAAAATAACCCTAACAATTTTTTGTAGATTTGTAACCCATTTTTTTCCACATAATTGATGTGCATGTCAATTTCAGGGTCATCCCTAACATTGGTGGAATTCTTAATGCAAGTATCTTAATAATTATTTTATTATAATTTAAGATATATAATTAAATTTTAATATTTAAAAAAAGTTGTACCAGAACAAGACAATTATATAACTGAATATCTTAAAAGTTTAGAATTAGCTCTTATTTGAGAGATTTTAGATACTTTTCTCTCATATTTCTCTTAACTTTTCAATATTTTTTTTTTTTTTTAATACTAAGATACCATTGAAGTGTGTCTTAATATATATCAAGGTATATACACAATACACAAAATGTTAAAAAGTATTTATAAAAAGGATAAGGTTGCCACGGTCCAGGACCACCACATTTATATGGATTGTGATTTTTAAATAGTACCAAAAACGAAGGGTAGAATTTCCAAAACGGGTATAATGTTTCTATTTTCTTTCTGCTAAAATTTGGAATCGATGGACCTTGCAAAAATTAAAATTAAAAAAAAAAACAGCAAGAGAAGTCGGAAGCAATTTTGCTTAGTATGAGAAGATTATATTTCTTTTTTTTTATTATTGGATGAGTTAATTAGATGCTTTGACGTTTGAAAATGAATGGGAGTTGGATGTTGGCATAATAACTATTTCATAAATGACATTGAAATTCAATAAATCATTCGTTGCCACTTGCAACTGCACCACATGCATCTGACTCTAGAGATTTGTTCTTGAACGTAAAGATGTTTTCGTCCTACATGTGGCATTAAGTCATTAACTCAGAAGTCAGAAATTCAAAAAAAAAAACAAAAAAACAATGGGGATCAAGTTACTGCTGCTTCTGCCTCTTTTTCTTCCGCTTTTGTTGATTCAGCACTCTGATTCAGTATCCATCATCAGATATCTTCCTGGCTTCGAAGGCCCTCTTCCTTTCGAGCTTGAAACCGGGTTCTGTTCCTCTTCATCACATTTCCATATATAGTAATCTTATAATGAATGAATCCGTGTTGTGAGTTTTTGGAGTTAAAACCATTTAGGTATATTGGTGTCGGTGAGGCAGAGGAAGAACAGTTGTTCTACTACTTCATTAAATCTGAGAGGAACCCAGAGGAAGATCCTCTTCTTGTCTGGTTAAGCGGAGGACCTGGCTGCTCTTCTCTCTCTGGCCTTCTTTTTGAGATTGGTCAATTTCTAAACTACTCCTCTCTTTTTCTCTCTTCAGAAAGTTTGATGACTTTGGTTTTAAAAAAAAAAAAAAAACAGGGCCTGTGACTTTCAAGATTGAGTCTTGTAATGGAGATATCCCTTCATTGGTCTCTACTACATATTCATGGACTAAGGTAACACACATACTGTAGTTATATGACAGGTTAACTCTTTACTAATCATCTTCAAGTTTTTTGGTTGAATTGCTTCTTCTCAGGTGGCGAATATAATCTATTTGGATCAGCCTGTTGGGACTGGCTTCTCCTACTCAACAAACCCACTTGCTAGTGACATACCAAGTGACACAGGATCAGCTAAACGGGTCCCTGAGTTTCTCCGTAAGGTAAAGGAGAAACTAAAGTCAGTGATGTCTTAAAGAAAGTCAGTCTTTATGAATAGAGTTTGAGAGTGTTTGTTTGGTTCGTTGTGCAGTGGCTAGCTAAGCATCCTGAGTTTCTCTCCAACCCCTTTTATGTCACCGGAAATTCTTATGCCGGTAAGGTGGTTCCAGCCATCGTTCAAGAAATCTCAAACGGTAAGTTTCTTTTTTTTATATATCACTTGAATACTGACTTACAAGCCCTTTTCTTCGAGTCTCTTCTTTTCTTGATCTAGTTCACTTTTCATCGCAGGAAATGGTTTATGCTTTAAACCTCAGATAAATCTTCAGGTTCGTTGGTACTATTGCGTTTGTTTCTTATAATATACCTTAGAGTCTTGTTGCACACTCTCTACGCTGACCAAACAACAGGGTTACGTGCTGGGAGATCCACTAACAGATCTTGATAACAATCGTAACTTGCGCATTCCATATGCTCGTGGAATGGCTCTCATCTCTGAAGAACTCTATGAGGTACCAATTTACTATGTCTATGTGATGTTTTTTGTTTTGTCACCCCAATTAACAAACTAAATCAAATTCATTCTTTGCAGTCGCTAAGGAGAAGCTGCAGAGGAAACTATGTTAAGATGGATCCTCTTAACACAGAATGCTTGAGACTCGTTCAAGAGTTTGAGAAGGCAGAGAGATACACACTCTGAAATATCAGATAATGTATTTTACTAATATAAAAATAGGTCACTAATATAAGTCAGGCTTTGTGCTTTGCTTACAGTGTATTTCTGGAATAGATGCAACATATATTCTAGGACCAAATTACAAAGACGCATCTAATCCCTCTGAAACCAATCCGTTTGCGCATCTCATCTCTCAACTGTCTAACCGCTGGGCCAATGAGGAGAGTGTGCGAAGAGCCCTTCAAGTGCACAAGGTCGGTATATGATTACAAGTTTAAAATATTACATGGTTTGGTAACTAAAAAGGGTTTGATTGATTGTTATGAAACTGTGATTGCAGGGGACTGTAGGAAAATGGTTTCGATGTAGTCAGAAATTGACTTACAAGTTTGACGTTATAAGCAGCGTACCGTACCACAAGAAAAACAGCATCCGAGGATACAGATCCCTCATCTTCAGGTCCACAGTTCTTTATTCTTCTGTTAAAGGATTCAAGGTTTTGTAACACAAAATTTTTGCCATGATGTTTCTGGTGAAACAGTGGGGATCAAGACATGGTCGTCCCTTTCCTTGCGACTCAAGACTGGATAAGATCTCTCAACTATTCCATTGTTGATCAGTGGAGGCCATGGATGATTCAAAACCAAGTCGCTGGGTATATATATAACTTCTTTTTTATTCAATTCTCTATTGGTCATTCTCATCAAAATAGAGACGCACAATCTGTTTCTTTGCAGATACACAAGGACTTATGCCAATAAGATGACATTTGCCACTGTGAAAGCAAGTCTACGTTCTATTATATATTTACAAAAAAAGGAAAGAGCTTCTTTGTACTTGAGTTTCTGATTTCATGTTGGTTTGGTTTGTAGGGCGGTGGTCACACGATGGTGTACAAACCAGAGGAGTACTATGTGATGTTCAAGAGATGGATTAGTGGCCAGCCTCTGTAACAGCTTATCAGCGATGTGGTGGAAATGAAATAATTGGAAAATCATTAGAAGCAACTATGAAAATTGTTATTAACCTTTTTGAAGATGAAGAGGCGACACAAAAGTCAATAAGAGATCCCTAAGTTTCAAAGCACTCGGGATGAATCAAAACTAATAATGCAAGCATTTTTGTAGATTTGTTTTTCCACGTAATTGACGTGTGTCAATCTCAGGGTCATCCCTAACATTTATATTCCCCAATAATTGAGGAGCGTGTCACTATAGTATATACACAATACAGCATATAAAAATATCAAAATGTATACAAAAAGGGATAAGGTTTCCACCGTCCAGGACCAACCACATTACATGGATTGTGTTCACAAAAGTTAGTACCAAAAAGGAAAATGTAGAAATCCCAAAACGGGTACAATGTTTCTATTTTCTTTCTGCTAAAATTTGGAATCGATTGGCCTTACAGAAAATTAAAAAAAAAAAAAAAAACCAAGCAAGAGAAGTCAGAAGCAAATTTGCATTAGTATTAGTACTGTATGAGAAGATTATCATACTTTTTGATTGGATGGGTTTAATTAGATGATTTGACGTTTGAGATTGAATGGGAATTTGGACGTTGGCATAATAACTATTTCATAAATAACACTGACATTCAATAAATCATTCGTTGCAACTTGCAACTGCACCACATGCATCTCCCTCTGGAGACTTATTCTTGAACATAAAGAGATGTTCTCTCGTCCTAATTGTGGCATTAACTCAAACTCAGAAATTCAGTAAGCAAGCAACAACAAAAAAATGGGGATCAAGTTACTGCTGCTTCTACCTCTTCTTCTTCCGCTTTGGTTGCTTCGGCAGTCTGATTCTGGATCTACCATCAGATATCTTCCTGGTTTCGAAGGCCCTCTTCCTTTCGAGCTTGAAACCGGGTTCTGTTCCTCTTCATCTCATTTCCATATATAGTAATCTTATAATGAGTGATGAATCTGTGTTGTGAATTTTTTTTTTAGTTTAATCATTTTAGGTATATTGGTGTTGGTGAGGCAGAGGAAGAACAGATGTTCTACTACTTCCTTAAATCTGAGAGGAACCCAGAGGAAGACCCTCTTCTTGTCTGGCTAAGCGGAGGACCTGGCTGCTCTTCTCTCTCTGGCCTTTTTTTTGAGAATGGTTAATTTCTAAACTCCTCCTCTCTTTTTCTCTCTTCAGAAAGTTTGATGACTTTGGTTTCAACAAAAACAGGGCCTCTGACTTTCAAGATTGACTCTTCATTGGTCTCTACTACATATTCATGGACTAAGGTTACACACAAACTGTAGTTATGTGACAGATTAACTCTTTACTAATCATCTTCAAGTTTTGTGATTGATTGCTTCTTCTCAGGTGGCGAATATAATCTATTTGGACCAGCCTGTTGGGACTGGCTTCTCCTACTCAAGAAACCCACTTGGTAGTGACATACCAAGTGACACAGGATCAGCTAAACGGGTCCATGAGTTTCTCCGTAAGGTAAAGGAGAAACTAAAGTCAGTAATGTCTTAAAGAACAGAGTTTGAGAGTGTTTGCTTGGTTTGTTGTGCAGTGGCTAGCTAAGCATCCTGAGTTTCTCTCCAACCCCTTTTATGTCGCCGGAAATTCTTATGCCGGTAAGGTGGTTCCGGCCATCGTTCAAGAAATCTCAAACGGTAAATTATATTTATCAATTTAGTTACAAGCCCTTTTCTTTGAGTCTCTTCTTTTCTTGATCTAGTTATCATTTCTCTCTTTTACATCGCAGGAAATGGTTTATACTTTAAACCTCATATAAATCTTCAGGTTCATTGGTATTGCGTTGGTTTCTTATATGGTATAGCTTGCTGAGTGAGCATTGAGAACTGAGAGTCTTGTTTACACACTCTCTGCACTGACCAAACAACAGGGCTACGTGCTTGGAAATCCGTTGACAGACTCTGATAACAATGATAATTACCGGATTCCATTTGCTCGTGGAATGGCTCTCATCTCTGATGAACTCTATGAGGTACCAATTTACTATGTGATATGTTTTTCTTTGTCACCACAATGAAGCAGCTGAAAAGTAGAGACAAAGCTAATTCGAAACTCTTGGTTGCAGTCGCTTAGTAGAAGATGCAGAGGAAATTATTACACTAAAGTGGATCCTCTCAACAGAGAATGCTTGAATCTCGTTCAAGACTTTGAGAAGGTCAAATACACACTCTCTGAAATATGGATAGTAAGGAGAGAAGAAGAAGATTCACTGATATAATTAAGACTTTTGTGCTATATTTACAGTGTGTTTCTGGATTAGATGTAACGTATATTCTAGGACCAAAGTACGTAAACGCCTCGGATCCCTTTGTAAGCGCTCCAGTTGAGCATCTCATGTCTCTGCAGTCTAACGGCTGGGCCAATAAGGAGAGTGTGCGCAGAGCCCTTCAAGTGCACAATGTAGGTATATCTGATTACAAGTTTAAAATATTAGATCGTTTGGTAACTAATTGATGGTAATGAAACCGTGTACAGGGGAGTGTAGGAAACTGGTTACGATGTTATCGGGAAATACCTTACAAGTATGACGTTATAAGCAGCGTACCGTACCACAAGAATAACAGCATCCAAGGATACAGATCCCTCATCTTCAGGTCCACAACTCTTTATACTTCTGTTTAAGGATATAAAGGTTTTATAAAAACAAAACAAGAAAAATTGGAATGATGTTTCTGGTGAAACAGTGGGGATCACGACATGTTCGTCCCTTATGTTGCAACTCAAGACTGGATAAGATCTCTCAACTATTCCATTGTTGATCACTGGAGGCCATGGATGATTCAAAATCAAGTCGCTGGGTATATATATAAGTTTTTTTTTTTTTTTTTTTTGGATTCTCTCTTAGTCATTCTCATCAAAATAGAGACACGATCTGTTTCTTTGCAGATACACAAGGACTTATGCCAATAAGATGACATTTGCCACTGTGAAAGCAAGTCTACGTTCTATTATATTTACATAAAGGAAAGAGCTTCTTTGTACTTGAGTTTCTGAGTTCTTGTTGGTTTGGTTTATAGGGCGGCGGTCACACGATGGTGTACAAACCAGAGGAGTGCTATGAGATGTTCAAGAGATGGATTAGTGGCCAGCCTCTGTAACAGCTTTATCAGCGATGTGGTGGAAGTGAAATCTTTGCAAAATCTTGATTTAGTGCTTTATAAACTGATACCAAATTGATTAAATGACTCAGAATTTGGATATAAATACCAACACTTGCTCAAGCTCACCAATTACTGATATGGAATCCGTAAGACAACAACGGTTGATCTTAAAATTGATAGAATGCGAATCAGATAGAAAAATTACCAACACTAGAGTGATAAAATCCGTGATACACAGAGTCTTGGTTAGGGAGGAGATGATAAAGCTAACACAATTCTTACAAAGATGTGGTGGTTATGGAGAAGTTGGTCTATTTGCGCTCATTTCTTCTGAGCCTGTGTTATGACCCTTCCCTTACCGTTTTCTTTTCTTCCCTGAAGAGGTCTTCTCTGGCTGTGACTTAATACGCACAGTACAACTCCATAGAGCTCTCTCAATGTCCGAAGCCCCTCCCCACTCTCCCTTCGACTTCAATTCCTATGATCCATCCATTTTGGTTTAAGGCAAGCTCAGATTTAATCTTAATGCCTCTTAACATTTTCAAAGACTTTCAAAGCTCGGATTTTTTTTCCTACCACAGTATCAGTGAAATTTTAGAGCTAGCAAGTGTGTTGAAAACTAACCAAGCAGGGACAAAATCAGTTCAAATCTTGTCATGTTTCAAGTGTAATCCTAGTTTCGCACAAAACAAAATTTACTTGGTACATAGAGACTAACCTTTGCTTTTTCCTGAAGCTTAGTCGCGAAAAGCAAGTATTGCTTCAAAGAGTAATCCTTTGAGCTCCCAAGAGCCACCTCCATTGCCTTTACTTCCACATTAGAGTTTAGCAAATTAAAAACAGAGAAAAGAGTGAGTTTTCAAGATTCTTCTTTTTGCTGCTCTCTGATTGTATTTGTCACACGAAAGAAATTGAAGAGAGAGATATACCTCGTCGGACATAAAGGGAGCAATGTCGGGGGCGTAAGCAGCTAGAACGGCGGAGGCGGTGGCCGGACCAACGCCCTTAAGCACGGTGAGCTCTTTCACGGCCTTGGAGATGTCGGGGAGCGATTTGAAAGCCTTTTCAGAAGCAGATTTCACCACTGAATCCTCCAGCGACGACACGAAACCGAGCAGACGAGGCCTTGGAGGAAGGGGAAAAGCAAACAAATTGAGACATCACGCACGTATCCAGTGAGCGTAGAGACAGACAGAGTGTGTGTGTGAGAGAGAGAGAGAGAGAGAAAGTACCGCCATTTTCCGCGGGAAAGCTTCCACTTCATGAGTTGAGAAAGCTCGGAGGTGGTGAGGTAAGGGTTAGGGTCTCGGCCGTGAAGAAGAGAAGGGAGGTCGAGGCGGTAAAAATGATCGAGAGAGACGAGGTCTGGTTTGTTCAGGGACTCGATTCGGGAGTCGTAGGAAGACAAAGCCTCCTTCCAAGCTCCCACATCGGAACACTTGAAGTCTAGTGCCATTCTCGAGGGAAGAAGAGAAGACTGACAACTAACCGATCTGCTGTGAGCAGCGCTCAGTTCAAAAGCGGATTCAGAGGACTCGAACGGGTTTTCATTATGCTTTTTTTCTTTTCTTTGGATGAGGCAACTTTGTCTGGGCCAGTTCTCTACAAGGCCCATTTAAACCCATTGTTTGTATAACAAAGCCCATTACAAGATGCATGCATTTTGCATGGGGCCTAACCATTTCTCCTCACTTCCTGTTGAATCGGTCATTTTTGAACAAGTTAATTAATTGTTTATTTTGAATTCTGATGATTGCTCTTGTTTATTTTAGATCCAACACAACATATCCTCTGTTTTTGTCTTTTTTCCCTTAAAAAGCCTTTGCGAAATCTTGATATATTGTGTGATCGAGCTTATTATATGATTACTGAAGTTCATTTCATTGTAAAAACGAATTCTGAACTACCTGCGGACATTTACGGTTGATCTTTAAATAATGCATTACGAGGCTATACCTACCACACCAAAGTGATAATCCCTTGATAAGATCAGCTTTCAATTAAGAGAAATTATAAATTATATTTGGAAAGATAATAATATTAATGATTTTTCCTCAAAAATATTGTAAATAAATTTGTTCTGAAGATATTGTAAAAAAAAACTATTTTTATATTTATAAACGAGGAATCCTAAGCTGAATCGCATACAAAATCTATTCTCAGCGCCTACCACACCAAAGTGATAGATAATTCTTTGATAAGATAATATATTATAGATAAGTGTTTTTTCTTCTTCTTACCTTTATAACATTTTCAATTTGATTGCCGACACACTACCATAAAGAAAGAATTAAATTCATTCGGCAACAAATAATAATACTAAAGAAACATAAAGGGAATGTAATTAAATTCTGTAGACACTATGACGGAAAATAAAGGTGTCCAATGACATTTGAGAGTTGAGAGAGAGAGAGAGAGAGAGAGAGAGAGGTGGGCGATTTCAACCTCCGTCGTCGGCTTCCGTGGACCGTACTCGCCGCAACTTCATTTCCTCCTACGTTCGTCTTCTCTATCTGAAAGCCGAGAAATTTTTTCTCTTGCTAGTTTCCGGTGCTGCTCTCGCCAAGCTGAAAACTGGGTTTCTCTCCAGCTTTGTTTCTTGGGAGGGGTTTTTGAAGGATTTCATGCAAATGGAGGCTAACGACTTTGAAGAAGAGCACAAGTTCACCCTCGACAACTATCATATCTTGGAGCAGGTTAGGAGAGCCAAGTCTGCTTCCGATTTCGTGGTCCGCCTTGACATCGAGGACAAAAAGTAAGATGCTTTCCTTCTTTCCCTTTGCTTCTTTCCTTAACAAGCGATGACATTTTCGTGATTTCAATTTCCAAACTCAAAGACTGATTCTACTTAATTCAGGTAGTTTTCAGTTGGTTAATTAGGGTAAACAGTGGTCAATGATTTTCTTCGAGTTGTGTAATCAATGAAGAACAAGACGAATGATGCTGTGTCTTTCTCAAAAGTAGTTTTTTTTTTCTGTCTCTAACGATTTTGGTTGTGTTTCTATCTGAAATTCCATAGAAAACAACAAAAAAAAATTGAATTAATATTCTCCCCATTGTGTGATCAAGAACTATTTGTTGGATGTTGGTCTCTAGCTATCTTTCATGCCTTTGATTTTCCTCTCTCGATTAGGTATGCAATGAAGAAGATCTGCCTGGCTAAACACACGGAGAAGTTAAAGCAAATCGCTTACCAACAGGTGACTTGTCTGTTGATCTTTGAATCATCGATGTTTATCTGTTAACTATGCTTTTTAATGGGACGTTGTATCAATTCTTCTATTCACGTACGTATTTGCACATGGGGCAGTTCTTAAATGTGTAGTTTCCATATAGATTCTCGAGCCACGTGCTTCTACACAGTTATATAGTATTCGTCTCTCGCATTTACCCGAGCAATGTGTTAACTTGATAACTTCAGATTAGTGAGCTGTTAGAAATTATAGTCTGGAAAACTGGAATGGTGTGGAAACACACTTTGTTTGAATGGTGAAATAAATGTTTTCCTACTTATGCGTGATGCGGTTTGTTTAACCACCAAAGTGGTCTATTTGGCATATGATTTCAAGTTCATTTGTTTTTTTCCCCCATAGTCTCATGTAAACCATCATCTTCATCTATTTGTGTTGCAGATGAAGTCGCTCTCAAAATTAAAGAATCCTTATATCGTGCAGTTTGAAGATTCTTGGATTGACGAGGTAAAGGAGCTGGACGTCAATGACCATTCGTTATGACAGAGTTATTAAGAGTTTCATCAGTTTTCACTGAATTAGTTTTCTTTTTACAGGACAATAACGCCTGCATTTTTACTGCTTACTGTGAGGGAGGGAACATGTGAGTTATTCTTCCATGGACTCTATATCTTTATGAAGTTTTAAGAATTCTCTATCGTGGACTACTGAATCAGAGAACGATCTTCTTCTTTTTTTTACCAAATCAGGGCTAATGCTATCAAGAAAGCCAGAGGAAAGTTCTTTCCAGAGGAGGTAATCTCTCCATTTCAGTTTATTCTTTTGTTTCTCTTACACTTGTTTTGCCCACATTGTTACCGTCTTGCTGATCATAACAAATTCGTGTGTGATTCTGCAGAAAATCTTTAAATGGTTGGCACAGTTGTTACTGGCTGTCAACTATTTGCATTCAAACCGTGTAGTTCACATGGATCTAACGGTACGCAATTAATCATGCTACATTACTTTCACTATTTTGTGTGTGTTGATTCGTAAACAACGGCGCTCTGATTACCAGTATCTTTGCAGTGCTCAAATATTTTCCTTCCGAAAGATGATCACATCCAACTTGGTATGATTAATGAGAAGAATGATCTTACTCTTTCACTCAAAACTGTGCATTTCTGTGCTCTAATTAGCTTTAAATAACTACCCATGGCGCAGGTAATTATGGTTTGGCGAAACTTATAAATCCGGAAAAGCCTGCTTCCTCGGTATATGATCTCTCTGGACCCATTTGTATATTTAGTATCTCAAGTACCAAATGCTTTTTTCCAAAAAAGCTCATACCTTATTTATATATATAGGTTTCAGGTATTGCTAACAGCATGTGCCCTGAGGTTTTAGAAGATCAACCCTATGGATATAAATCTGACATATGGTCGCTGGGTAAGTTTAAAGAATTTTTAAATCTCAATATGTAAGCTTCAAGGTACTCAAAGGAATCACATTTATGCTGCTTTGTTCAGGTTGCTGTATGTATGAAATCACAGCACAGCAGCCTGCGTTTAAAGCTACGGTGGGACTGTCTTTACTTTTCTATCTCTCACTTTTTGAATGTTTCCATGTGACTTTATGAAACTAAGCTGTTAAGAAAACTTACAGGATAAGGCTGCACTCATCAACAAAATAAATAGATCCCTTTTGTCTCCTCTTCCGATTGTCTACTCCTCTACCTTGTAAGTTTCTTCTTCTTTCGAGCTTCAATCCACTGCCACAAACAAAACGTATGAAAGGAGTTGCAACTATTTTATATTGCAGGAAACAGATGATCAAGCTTATGCTCAGGAAGAATCCGGAACATCGGCCAACAGTAAGTTATCTATCATCAACACATGTATCAGTGACAGTTTGATTAATACTGTTGTAACTAATAATGATCCTGCAGGCCTGCGAATTGTTGAGGAACCAGTGTCTACAACCGTACCTCCTTCAATGCCAAGACCTGTCGCCTATTTATCTTCCTGTTTTCCCGATAAGCAGCCCAAAGGACAAGTCAAGAAGAAGTTCGTTGCCAGGCAAGTTTGTGAAAGAGAGAGATTCGAGAGAGAAGAGCGAGGTGTCTCGCAGTTTGGAAAACCTTTATCCGCTTTGGACGAAAGCAGAGACTGGATCCAGCAGCTCATCGCAACCGGCATCATCCACAAATGGTGCAGAGGACAAACTCGAAACCAAAAGAATCGATCCAAGCTGCGACGCATTGAAGATTTCCGAGTCTACTAGCCAAAACTCGGATCCTGAGACTGCAATCTACACTGCAGAAAAGCAAACTGAGGAGAATGGCCTGGCAAAAGAAACGGTAAGTATGTTATCTGAGGAACCTCCTCTGATACGTGATGTTGATGTCGGAGTTGTGAGTGCACAAGAAGTAATAAGTTGCCCTCCAAGCCTCGCTGAAGAAGCTGAAACTCAGGAGGCAATTCCGGAACCAAGGGATGAGAGAAAGCAGTCCATTTCTAGCAATGAAGTTGCAGCAGCGAGTGACTGCTTGCCTGGAAGCGTCGAGGTCGATGAAACAAAGACGGAGAAGCTAACAGCGAGTGAAATGTCGTCGGTGCTGAGTAAGCTCACAAAACTGGGTCCGCCACAGAGTAAAGAAAGAGCAGATGCATTGGAGTGTTTGTTGGAGAAATGTGCAGGGCTCGTAAAGCAAGAGAAGTTTGAAGAACTTGCTGGTTTGCTTACACCATTTGGGGAAGACGGTGTCTCGGCTAGGGACACTGCTATTTGGTTCGCAAAGACACTCTTGTCTTCTGAAAAACTCAACCAAGGAACCTGATTCCTTTTTTTTTTTTATATATGTCAAATATGCAAGTTTTCAATGATAGTTTATGACACTCATTTTTATCTGTTGTCCTAAAAACTAAATTCTAATTTTGAATGTAAACTAATTTTCTCCTACTGTTACATCTTTGCCCTCTTTGAGCTTCTTTTATCTCCATTAGTATCTCTGTTTCTAACGTCTTTCCTCTAGTGTTTCGATAATAATAGCCTTTTGTGAACTGACGTTCCCAACCATTCTCGCATCTTGATACATATGATTTTGATGAATTTAGTTACATGAGGTTGACACATTGTGCAAAAAAACTTGTGAAACTTTCAATGTCAAATGAGTTTTTTTGGTAATCATACATTGTATAATGGAGTAAAACTACATCATATAAGACAAATTCAGTAATCTCCAAGAATTTGAACCATGATGAGATCCCTAATTGACTAATTCTAAGCAGGGATGTAAAAACCAGAGTCACAAAATTTCTATAACACACTAAGAAAATAAACAGAGTGGTTAAAAGCCGAGCTCATAAATCAAAACAAATGAAGTAGATCATCGTCCTCCGTGAAGCTATACACTGCCGAGAGAGTGAGCCTGTAAGAAAAAAAGGTGTTGTGGACTCAGTAACTTCATTGTAGAAGAACCAACCAAGAGAGGAAAGATTATAAAAAGAGAGCTATAAAGTCGTAAAAAAAATTAACCTGAAGACAACCATGATGAAGAGAAAGACGTAGAAGCCGAGCTTTGTAAACCGTAACTTCTTTTCAAAGTTAATACCACGGAACACTTCAGTGACATCGATGAGATGCTGTCGCTCACGGTATCTGCAACAATTTGGGGCTGTTTAGTTTACACAAGCGAATTCAAGAAACAATGATGAATAGAGGAAGACACAGACACAGAGAGAGAGGGTTACAGTATAGCGTGATAGCATGTTACAGGGACAGCCACGAGAAAAAATAACCAATGCCATGTGAGGAGGAAGAGAAGGCAGAGTGAGGCTTGGACGATAAACTCTGGTATTACCAATCGGTTGATACGGGAAGTTGTTTCAAAAGGGTTCAAGTAGTCAGCTTCTAAATCCGTTAAACATATAACCTACAGTTATTTCACACAACTTCAATAGCAAGAAAAGCAAAAGGAAACCAAAACAAATACTTAGCAGAGGTAGTAGTAGTGTAAGTAAACGATATTTGTATTCTCATCTCATTCCATCACTTCGTGTCCCTATAACCAAAAATCAACTCGGTACTACAAATCGGCACAAACTCAAAAACAATATAAAAACTGATGACTATAGCTCATCAAGTCCAATAGCTACCAAACTAGTGTTGAAGACAAACCAAATCACAGTTAATAATAACTCTGAGCTAGAAGCAAAAGATTGAACCAATAAGAACCTCACTGGGCATAAATTACTTTGCCGGATTGCTCAATTGTGAGAGGTTTTCTAATAAAAAAATCGATGAACACAAGCGGCAAATTGTTCCGTGTCCTATTCTCTGGAAAAAAAAGGGGGAAAAAAAGCTAAGAGAAGGGTTTTTACACAACTACAAAGGCGTAAGTTAGCTAGGGCTTCGGTAAGCACTAGTGAACAATTCCGACAGTCACGATTTGAAAAGTAAAAACCCCTTCGGACAGATCTCGACTCAAGAAAATTTTAAGAATCTCACATTCTTACTTAAAATTAAGAGGGGAAAAGAAAGAATGGCTTCGGATATACAGTTACCTGATAGAAGACGGAAGCGACAAGGGCTAAGCTGGTGAAGAAGGAGAGAATCCATAAGAACAAATCCCAAGGCATTGTTTCTTCAATTAATCTTTGTGCGATTCTTGCTAATACCCACCTTTACTTTATATTAAGGTCGTTGCTGACTTGCTCTTATGACTTGTGAGTTCTGAATTGAGAATCTAGTTTCTTTTCCTTTATTTTTGTCGGCACATTTCCTTTTTCTTTTTTGGCGTTTATTGAACTTTTTACTTATTAGATCTTTAGTTAAAACTTAAAAAGATGAATTCGCTTTTTTAGTTTTCAGTTTCTGATAGTATGAATTAGTTCGGTAAGGTTGCAGTTTCGTTAAATGTGTAATCCATATTATCTTAATCACTTTCAAATATTGCAAAAAGCAAGGAGAGCGAAAACATTAGAATTCGATACAGATTCACAAACACCGTACCAGAAAATTAACCTTGAGAAACAAACATGTGTTTTAATAATATCCGCAAACACACAAACCCGGCCAAAAGCTTACTTTCTTCTTGACTTCTTGGAAGATCTCCCGCTTTCGAGTTTTCTCTTGGCAGCTTCAAATTCTTCTTCGTTTGGCTCTGAGTCAGCGTTGCTACCATACCTAGAGACAAGTGACGAGAACATTGTATCGAACTTCTCTTTCCTCTCATCTCTTCGCTGTGATATTAAAGCGTAAAGATCTTTCTCTGCACCCTTTTTTGCTCTACAAGCATATAAATTTGATACAGGTTACAAGAAAGTTTAACTTCAGAAAGAGATTTTTTTAAAAAAAAGAGGTAGGCATAGAGAAGCTTACTTTCGTCTCCTCTTTGTGGGACTTGTGGGGGGTTTTATTTCTGCAATTTCCTTGGCCCATTTCCTGTAAGCTTTTGTTGACTTCACTTCTCCTGCATTAAGGAAACAATGGTTTCATAGCGCACAAACAAATCACGGCTTGGATGCGTTTTGTACACAGAATTACTGCAAAAGAGAGAGAAGCCTACCAGCTGCAATGGCCTCGTCAATAACATCTTTGAAACGGTGTGAATCAAGCTTGGGGTTCGAGCAAAGCATTGAGCAGAATAGCCTGGAAGAGATATAGTAGTACCAACAATGATTATTCTTAACTTATAGTTCACAAACTTAGCAAATAATGAAAACAAATGGATGATGATAAACTACCTGCTCATATTACCCTTAAACTTCTTGTACAGCTCAATCAAATCTTTCGACTCGGATTCAGAACCCCTGTAGTTTGCCTCAAACTCTTCAATATCTTCCTCGGTGACCTTTAACACAAGTGTCACAAGCATCAGTAAGTGAAGGAAACAGAACAAACACTTGTTGTGTTTAAAGTCCAAAGAGGAATCAATTATGGATGGTGTTTGTTACCTTCTTGTACATGGCCTTGAAGAAGTCCCTCAAGTTGTCAACCACGTCTCCCGAAAGATCCTAATGAGATGGGAAAAAAACAGTTTGTGAGAAAATATCTTAAGTCGAAAGCTTTCTCTCACCAATTCATTTGAGCAGAAACTGAAAATAGTACAAGAGACTGATGATACATGTGCACTACTAATCTCAGGAAAACAATCTACAATCAACAGCGTGAGATGAAATTTCTGAAACTAAAATCAAACACAAAAGAAAACTGAAGAACCCGACTTACAGCGTCATCAACTGAGCCAGTTTGATCATAGACAGCCCTTTTCTCTTCGTCACCGAGAATCGATATCACCTTTTGCAGCTGCTGAAACTTCTCTTTAGCCTCCTGTTGAAACATAAACACAAGAATTCAAGTTTCCCTGTAAATTGAATTGTACCTATGAAAACTACTAAGAAAAAAGCCCTCAAGAGCAAGTGTTTAAACCTCATCGTCCTTATTTTTATCAGGATGAAGCCTCAATGCCAACTTATGGTAAGCTTTCCGTATCTCCTGTGGAGTTGCAGTCGCTTCGACACCAAGAACCTTCAACGTTAGACGAATTAGTTCGTTTCATTGAAAATTTCTAATCACACAATTATTCACCAACGAAACAAGGAGATTCTCGAAAAAGGAATTGCAACACCCTATCGATTAAATCTAAACAGTGAGGATCATAAACAAGTCAAGTTCTGCTTTTTACACCCTCACTAATCACCGATCATATTCAGACTATCACAGGAGCATGACCAGGCGGAATTACACATGGCAAAATTGATAAACAATCCAAAGTAAACCGATTACGGCATGAGAAATAAGAACAAGACAACTTTCGAGGCCAAGGCGAAGCTTAATTGGAACAAATCCCTCAATTCTACAAAACGAAAAACTCTAATTGCGGACAGAAATCGGAAAGGGAGACGATTCGCAGAAGGGAAAGATACCTCATAGAGAGTTTTCTCGCCAGATCCCGCATCATTCTCCATTTCTCAACGTTCTCGTTATACTCTTTCGGCGAAACAGCACAGATAAGAGACGCGATCTAGTAAATAAAACGCTTCTTAAAAGATTTATGGCGCCAATTATTCACTACCTTTTTGTGTTGCCGCCTATTTTGTGAAGATTTTCTGCTCGTCTCTTAACCTAATCAGGTGGAAGTAAAAGTAAAGGGGCTATATATTACGTTTATAGAATTTTAAGGGGTTATTTTGCAAAACCGAGTCTGAACCGAAATTGGTTTGGATATCTTGTACTAAGACCGCTGGTTAGGCAATTGGACGGTGGAACAAGGCAGTAAGTAAAATAAACGGCTTAGATGAAATTGGTATAGGGTGAAGTATTGTGATCCACGCCTCAGGAGAACAAGTCCCGGAGTAATGGGTCCCGCATCGGCCGTTAATCCTCCCTTTTTGTCATCTTCCCATTTTCTCTACCACCACTCGAAATCGTTGTTCTCGTTCTTCGTCCATTTTTTTGATCTGAGTTTCTCTGTTCGTTCATGGTAGATTCCGGCTGATTATGCGTGTAATACGAATCCGAGACTCTTGGCGTGCGTGGATCTGTTTGAGAGAGAAGCTAATTTTTCGAATTCGTGATCTAGAATAATTTTGTACGGTTTTCGTTTAGGAAAACAAAAAAAAGAGGCGAAACGAAGGATGTCTAATTTGTACGGGGATTACAACCAGAAGATCGATTACGTCTTTAAAGTCGTGTTGATCGGAGATTCGGCGGTTGGGAAAACTCAGCTGCTTGCTCGGTTCGCTAGGAACGAGTTTAGCGTCGATTCTAAAGCAACCATTGGTGTTGAGTTCCAGACTAAAACGCTCGTCATCGATAATAAAACCGTCAAAGCTCAGATTTGGGATACGGCTGGCCAAGAAAGGTTTCCCTATCTTCCACTTCCTTCACTTATTTTTATTTTTCTTCTTAAAATCGTTCATTGAAGAGTGTGACATGCATGGATATAATTGTGGTGATCAACCTTTTTTTAATGATTCTCAGAAACATTTGCATCTCCTCCATTTGATTATTTAGTTTTGGCAAGTATGTCTTCAAAATATTAGCCAACATATGATGATGATTCAATATTAGTAGTAGATATGAAAATAGGTTGGAATCTTCTGGATTTTTGTCTTCCATAGTTGAAATGCAATTGTAATCACTCTCCGGTTAGTTGCAAGAAGAAAGTGACGACAATATTCAGAGAATTGGCGTAGGCTATTGTAAGATATCATCATCATAGAAGATGATTCGTATGAACTTTACTGAACCATGTAGCTCTACATATATATACCACACTGCTTTTCTTACTCTCCATGCATTAGAGAATCCACTTATTAAATTCAACTTCTGCTTCTTGGTCATAACTTTTCATGAGAACACAATTCTGAACTTTGATGGCCAAGAATTCGCTAATTTGCTTCTACTCTTACATGTCATTTTTCAAAAGCAACATAGCTACTCTCAAGGTTTTGATAAAAACCACATCTTGTTTGCTAGATATTTACAACTACTCTGTTTAATTAAGGCTCTTAATCATACATGCATGAATCAAACTGTTGTTGTTCCTCTTTTTCAGATACCGGGCGGTGACAAGCGCATACTACCGTGGAGCCGTTGGGGCGATGTTGGTCTACGACATGACAAAACGTCAATCCTTCGATCACATGGCTAAATGGCTGGAAGAGTTGAGAGGACATGCGGACAAAAACATAGTGATTATGCTAATTGGAAACAAGTGTGATCTCGGAAGCCTAAGAGCAGTGCCAACAGAAGACGCTCAAGAGTTTGCACAAAGAGAAAACTTGTTCTTCATGGAAACCTCTGCACTCGAAGCTACCAATGTTGAAACCGCGTTTTTGACTATCTTAACAGAGATTTATCGAATAATCAGCAAGAAATCACTAACGGCTGATGATGATGACGCCGATGGGAATTCAAGTCTCTTAAAGGGGACTAGAATTATCATCCCGAGCGAGCAGGAGAGTGGTAAAAGAGGTGGATGTTGCGGCAAATCGTAATTCTACTAGCAAAAAGAAGAAAATACTGTACTTTTTTTTTGTTGGTTCTTCTTGTTGTTTTTTGTTCCGCCTTACAATTTATTATTCATGTTAGGCCATTTGTTCTTGAAACGAAACAATAAGCCAAGGTTTACTTACTAGAGGACAGAGTATGAGGAGGGTGAAACCAAGATTACCCATTTTTTACATACCACAATTATTCAGAAAGCAAACATTTACGAGATTGTGATTTGTTTTAATTTTTAGAGAAATTGAGAGCATGTGAATCATTTTTGTTAGACCTGTGTGACTGTGTCAAAAATATTGTTTTCTGTGGCGCAAAGTACAACTTCACTATTAAATATAGTTAAGGATAATTCATTTGCTAAACGAATAATACATGACAAACAATAAACAGAGGTCCAACAGATTCCAATTCTAATTCATAGTACTTAATAGTCCATTGGGCTTCAATTTTTTTTATTTTTTTTTAAATTATGTCACTGTCAAATGGACAACCTTTTTGGATGGATAAAAATGATTCTCTCCAAAGAAAGACCAAACCCACAAGAATGGAGCCCACATAATGCCAGCGTGGCATCAGATTATATATGATTCAATTCATAATAAGCCCACCGTTTCTCTCGCACTTCTCCGGTTTTCCTATTTCTATCGTCCTCTCTCTCTCCGGTTTCTTCACGCTTCTCTTATGACCTCTTTCTTACCTATCTTCTTCTTAGATTTTTTCTCCATCGATCACTGAACATTCACGTTTGCATTCGGATTCTTCATCTTGACTTCCAAGTCAAAATCTCCGATGATCTCTGCGATTCTCTGCTTTCCTCTTTCTCACCAGATCTGAAGCACCCGAATCCAAATTCGTAATCGAAACCGCTTTAATTCACCGCCTAGGCATTTCTCAATCATTCGGAGATCAATTAGCAATGGTGACGGTCAAATTGGGAATGGTCCATTATGTAATTGACCATGTCTACGGAGCGTTTATGCACCGCACGAGGATAACGCCGCCGTTCTTCTCGCGAGGATGGGGTGGGCCGAAGCTGGAACTGCTCGAGCGGATGGCTAAACAGCTCTTTCCGATGTATGTCGAAGGTCAGAATTGGCCACCAGCTATGGTACGTCCCGTGTGGAGGACCGTCTGGGAGACGAAGACCGCTTGTCTCAGAGAAGGCGTTTTCCAGACTCCCTGCGACGACGAGCTAACCGCCGCTTTGCCTCCGGAGTCTCGCACCGCGAGGGTTGCTTGGCTTGTCCCCAAAAACGTTCCTCCCCAGAAAATGTCCTGTGTGGTTCATCTTGCAGGTATCACCATCACGGATTCTTTGTGTACTGTTGGATTCGGATTCTTTTTCACATGGAAACAGATTCCATGGGCATAAACAATTGGAATTGAATGGCTTATAAATGTTTATGGGATTATACTTACAATTGCTAATATCATCATATCTTGCTGATTGCATTGTTGTAGGCACTGGTGATCATACATTTGACCGGAGATTGCGTCTGGGTGGACCATTGGTGAAACACAACATCTCAACAATGGTGCTCGAAAGGTAATAAAAGAGACCCTTTCTACTCGAGAGCAAAAAAGCTTTTCGCTTTGACCGCTTTTGAATCTTTTGCCATGTTTTTGATCAAACATAGATAATGCCCACTGCAGCCCTTTCTATGGTCGAAGGCGTCCGTTCCTACAACGTGGCGCGAGGCTCCTCTGTGTTAGTGATCTACTTTTACTTGGGAGGGCAACAATCGAAGAGTCCCGCAGTCTTATTCACTGGCTAGACGCCGAGGAAGGCTTTGGAAAAATGGGTGTTTGTGGTCTGAGTATGGGTAAGTTACATGTATCTCATTTTATGAACAACTTGTGAGCTATTGCATTGGGTCGAAAGTGGATGAACTGTTGCTAGATCCGTGATTTTACCAAGACTATCCAAAACTTAAATTGCGTTGTGGGTGTTTTCTAAGATGGATAGTGTGGGATATGTCTCCTGCAATAGTTGCGTGGATGTTTATTGGCTTATCCACAGAATTTCAGAAAAGTTAAGCCGCTATGTGGTTGCTCCTAGTTATTAGCCTCTCGTCATAAGCATTAGCATAATCTCCAACTCCTCAATAAGATTCTCTAGTGCACCATTAGATTTAGGTTCAAGTATAAGGATTAGGCTGATTTGTTCCTTTTTGCTGTGAGAGCCATAATATACAAGCTGCATCCGACGAGGGATCTATGTGGTTGCATCTCCATGTATTGGTTGAGTTGTTTCTTCTTTTTACTTGCTTTCACTGAAACCTAAAAAAGTCTTGTGAATATATATGAAGGAGGAGTACACGCTTCGATGGTTGGATCGCTTCATCCAACACCAGTTGCAACACTTCCATTCCTATCTCCGCACTCTGCAGTTGTTGCCTTCTGCGAAGGAATACTAAAGTATGGAACCGCTTGGGAGGCACTGAGGGAGGAACTTGCGGCACAGGAGATCACATTGACTCTTGATGAAGTGAGAGAGCGGATGAGAACTGTTCTCTCCCTCACAGATGTCACTCGCTTCCCCATCCCTAAAAACCCCGATGCTGTTATCTTTGTTGCTGCAACTGTAAGTTAAAAAAAAAAAATCAATCCCTGAAGTCACAAATTCAGAAATGGATTCACATTGCTGAATGTGTGATTGGTGTTGGTAGGATGATGGATACATACCGAGACACTCTGTGCTGGAGCTTCAAAAGGCATGGCCAGGGTCGGAAGTGAGATGGGTTACAGGTGGACACGTGTCCTCCTTTCTGCTGCACAATGATGAGTTTCGGAGAGCAATCGTGGACGGTCTCGATAGATTAGAGTGGAAGGAGCCATGGTGACGGTGACTTAAGCAGAGCACACAGCTCCTTTGTATAACACAAAGCGAAGGGGTCTCTTTTATGTAAATGTCTTGAATCCCCCTCTTGTTGTATCATCTGTTAAGAAGAATCAAATTCTTTTCGCTTTCAATAGTGGTGGGCTCTAGTATTCATTTGTTTGGCCATTGTTTTTGTCTCGACTCTCGACATGCAACAAAAATTGTAGGGGTTTCACTCATTACATACCATTCTTTTAGCATTTGTTTTTCTTTGGGAAAAAATGTCGTGTATTTTATACGACTTGTGGTGAAGAAGATACGTATCATAGTTGTTAGTCATCTAGCAAATTTTCCAATACGTATACTGTTTGAATATTTTCGTATCGTATGGGCTCTTCTTGTTGCATGTATATCAAATGATTTCAGCATGGCAATTCGAGTGATTGTACTAGCTATGCGACACATTAGGGGCTCGTGGTGGGACTAAGGTACGGTCAAATCATTAAAGTGAGAATCAAAACAGTGTTAACATGTGCAAACTTTCAAAAAAAATTAAAATAGTAGATGCATTTACCGCGCTTTACGAATTACAAAATTTGAAGAAAGGAATATTGTACTTTGGGAGTTGTGTAGAAACCCTAGTTGTACAAATTCAGTAACATTTACACAGCTGTGTTCCATTGAAGTCTCTGTTATATACCACAACCACAAGTAGCTTCGCTGCTCAAAGCAACCACTCAAAATCACAATGAAGCTCTTTCTAAGTCTCTGTATTTTCTCTTCCGTCATCTTCATATCTCTCCCATCTTCTTACAGCTGCACCTCAGCTGACAAAAATGCCCTCCTTCAAATCAAGAAAGCCTTTAACAACCCTCCGCTCCTCTCCTCCTGGAACCCCCGAACCGACTGCTGTACCAGCTGGACCGGCGTCGAATGCACTAACAGCCGCGTCACATCCCTCACCATCTCCTCCGGTGAACTATTCGGCCAGATTCCGAACCAGATCGGCGACCTCGTTAACCTCCGTACACTTGATTTCAGCTACCTGACCCATTTAACCGGAAACATCCCTCACACCATCACCAAACTCAAGAACCTCGACATCCTCCGTTTAAAGCAGACCAACCTCTCTGGTCCAATTCCTGATTACATCAGCGAGCTCAAGAGCGTTACGTTCTTGGACCTTTCCTTTAACCAATTTACCGGTCCAATTCCCGGTTCGCTTTCTCAGATGCCGAAGCTTGAGGCCATTCAGATCAACGATAATAAGCTAACCGGTTCTGTACCCAACTCCTTCGGTTCCTTTGTAGGCAACGTCCCCAATCTCTACTTGTTTAACAATAAGCTATCAGGTAACCAACATTTTTCTTTTAATTTCTTTAATACAGTTATGGTCAAATGTTTATTTACTAGTCTCTTGGTAACTTCAAGAAAATAATTACTTATATTTTGAGATCTCGCACCATAATTTTGTTAAATGACACTGCATTGCAGGAAACATACCGGAATCTTTGTCAAAATACGACTTCAACGGGGTAGATCTGTCGGGAAACGGTTTCACCGGAGATGGTTCGATGTTTTTCGGACGGAACAAAACAACAATACGAGTGGATCTGTCGAGAAACATGTTTCAGTTCGATCTGTCCAAGGTTAAGTTCGCTAGGAGCATTGTTTCGCTGGATCTGAGCCAAAACCGAATCTTCGGGAAGTTTCCTAGGGAGCTGAGTAAGCTACGCCTCGAGCATTTCAACGTTAGTTACAATCGTCTCTGCGGCAAAATCCCACGTGGTGGTCTCCTTCAGACCTTTGAACCATCTGCCTTCTCTCACAACCTCTGTCTTTGTGGGACCCCACTTAAGTCTTGTTAATTGGGTTTAGATAATGGCGGATGAAATAGAACAATTGTCTTATTCATGATGATGATGTTAATTTATCACCGCCAAGTACCAAGTTAATTGTTTCTGTTAAGAAATTAATGTTATAAAAAAGAGTAAGAATGTTGGTTTTGTTATTAAAAGTGTAATAATCTCTATGACACTATGGCCCTGTCTACAACATATGAACATACGTTCCGTATTCATAATTAGGATTAATAATAGGATGGAAAGGAAATGAAAGAAAATAAAGTATGATTAGTAGTAGCCGCTTTAACTACCGATAAACTTTGATAAATATTTTTCTGACCTATCGCTGAAGTTAAGAAGATGTTTTAACCTTGTAGGTAGGCCAGCAAACAATTTATCATAGTAGTAAATGGTAATAAACTTGTAAATTACCAAAATAACAATGGTAATTATATACTAATATTGTTTGTTAGGTGGCAGTTATTTTGGATAAAGCTAGAGATGATGTAAATTTATGTTGGTGATAGTGTAATTTTGTTAATAACTGATAAGGATTTTTTTTAATTTTTGGTTTTCTTAACAAGAATCTTACATGGGCTGGAATAGCTTTTCTTAGTGGGCCTTAGAAGTTTTTATTTCCAAAACGAAGCGTTTTGTCTTTAAAACGACTGTTCGGCGATTCCGACGCCATCCCATCCTAGTCCCGGAGAAATCGATCGTAGCTCTGTGCCCTTCGCTTAAAAGGATATTTCTCTCGAGTGGGAAAGAAAAGTTCGTTTCTTTTTTTCTCAAATCCTTTCAATTTCTCGTTCCAATTCCGTTATTTGATCGTTTCACCGAACGCGCGTCGAACCCTAAAACCCCTTAATTGCTTTCTGCGGGTCAAGTTTGGCTTCCAGTTTTCTAGGGTTTCGTATCTGAATCTGTGGAGAAGCAAAACCCTCTTGTGTGTTTTCCTCTCAAGCTCTTGAAAACAGAGGTAATGATAACGTTTTTGCCCCTCTTTGAACCTTGTTCGAGCAATTAGAGCCTTAAGCGTTCGATTACGAGCCTTCTTCTTAGCTCATCTGCTCCTAATCGAACACTGTTGGGCTAATTTTAGGCGCGGAATTTCTAATGAGGGTTTAGGGTGGTTAGCCGAGGATAGGGTTTAGGGGTTGAAGAAAAGTGTTCAGCTTTTTCGTGATTTATTGAAGACAAACTGTGGTGTCTGTTTCATATTCCTGTTCTTCTTGTTAAATTATCTGCTGGGTGGCCTTAAAGCTGTTTTACCAAATAAAAGTTGTGTATAGTTTCCACAGAATTGCGGCTTTTCTCTGGATTTTATTGGGTGCATAATCCTATATCAGTGCTCTTCTGTAGTTGGCCGAGTAATTTCATTATCTTCTTGACTAGTTTCTTCAAAATTAAAAATTATTTGGAGAAGAAACGGGAGCATTTGATTAAACCAACACAAACATTTAGCGATTATCTGTATTTTATAGCTTTTTAAACTATCAATGCCTTGATGGTAACTGTTGTACACATGACAGTAAAGCTTCAAAAAGGACATCTTTCATTTGGATGGGAAGTCAATCTACATAGTAATATGGAGGCACAAATTCATCAACTTGAGCAGGAAGCATATACCGCTGTTTTGAGGGCTTTTAAAGCGCAGTCTGATGCGATCTCTTGGGTACTCTCTTCCTCCTTTCGATTGATCAGGTTATTCTGTGTTCTGTCAGTCTCATGACTAAGTCTCTGGATTCTATTGGCTGTACCATTTCCACAACTTAGGACAAAGAAAGCTTGATAACAGAATTGCGTAAAGAGCTTAGAGTATCTGATGACGAACACCGAGAGCTTCTGAGCAGGGTCAATAAGGACGACACTATCCAAAGGATAAGGTCAGATTTGTTTATTTGTACCAACGAATACGAAAACACTAACGTATCATGATTTTCCGTATATTTAACATGCTGTACATTGGAACTGTATCAGAGATTGGAGACAGGGAGGCGGAGCCCAAGTTCCTCCTAGACATGCAGCTATTCAGGGCTTTGATGTTATTCCTAGTCCAACCTTCTCAGCTTCCCGAAAGAAACAGAAGACATTCCAATCTGTAAGTCTTGTGTTTTAGTCGTAATTTTGCTTTCTTCAGTTTATTGCCATTGTGTTGTTTTATGGTTATTCTTGATCAGTTACTGGTGATTGCATGCAGTATCATCCATCAATTGGTGTGACTGGAAATAGGTCATTCAATAATCGTGTGGTAACCGGTGGCATAGCAGGAAATGATTCGGCTGATGCTCTAATTGGAAGAAAAGTGTGGACAAAATGGCCTGAAGACAACCACTTCTATGAAGCAGTTATAACCCAGTACAACGCAGCCGAGGTACTGTTTTCGGTCAATGAATGTCGAATGCTAATTTGGGTAGAGAGATAGTTTGTTCTTCCAATTTTTTTCCAAAAAACTTGGAATGTATATTTGGTTTTGATCCATGTCTAACATTTGAACATTGCTTCAAGTGTCTTGCAACTTATGCACTTTTGCTGTATTTCTCACAGGGTCGGCATGCTTTGGTGTATGATTTACACGCAGCAAATGAAACGTGGGAATGGGTTGATCTCAAGGAGGTAAAAGCCTTACACAAAGATTTATGTTAGTAGTCTTTTTTATGGTTAGTAAGCGACATGGTGTCTTTACATGACGATGATGGTGACATTATGATTGTAGATTCCACCGGAAGATATAAGGTGGGATGGGGAGGAGAGTGGGATAGCTTTAAACGTCGGACATGGAGGCGGATCGACCCGTGGCAACCGAAGAAGCCAGAGCCATATTGGTAGAGGGAGAGGACCAAGAATTCATCAACCGAGAAGAGAACTTTTACCACCGTCAACACAACAGAATGGTGGTGCTGGTGGTGGTCGGAGAACTTCCTCTGATGATATTGAATTGTTCAACACAGACTCGCTTGTGAAGGAGGTTGGTTTTTTTCCTTCCATCTGTTGCGCACCCGTTAAGCTCAATGGCTGTTCCAACATCAAAGCTTTTCTTTTTTGTTTTAGGTGGAGAAAGTTTTCGATTCTACGCATCCTGATCCTCTTGAGCTTGATAAGGCCAAGAAAATGCTCAAGGTCTGAGATTAATATATACCCCCATTATGAGTGGTTTTAATGTTGTGTTTTAGTGAATAATAATAACACACACAAGTTGGTGGTGCAGGAACATGAGCAGTCGCTTATGGCTGCCATTGCAAGGCTTGCTGATACTTCTGATGGCGAAATGGGTAATAATAACAAAAGCAAGGCTTCGTTTTGTTTGCATTCACAGAATAATATTTTATTTACCATTCAATTCTTTCTTCTTATGATAATATCAAGGATCGTTACAAACGTAATCTTACAAGAAAACTGTCATCACACACACTTCGCTCATCTTGTAATTACACGTGAATTAGTCTCTAACTTGTTAATACATGAAAATGGGTTCTCTTCTCGAACTTGGGATTTGTGTGCTGCTTCCTTCTTTGATGCAAGTATGATCTGATTTTTCTGGTTTGCTGCTTCTATAAACTCACCAGATGGAGATCCACCATATTCGCATGACCATCCTATGCCACAGGGATGATGGAGAAAGCTGTCCGTAACTCACGGTCTGGTCATCATCAAACCCAAGGACTCTGGAATTTAAAAAGAAACGTTGTGGTCATCATGAAATTGCTTGAGAGGTCAGCTCAGAAGATGGAATTAGTCGTGTTTTTTTTTTTAAATTGTGGTCAGCAAAATGTATGGAAAAATTTGTTAGGATTGGTACGTAGGATTCTCTCTGCTTGTAAGCACAGCATTTGGTTTAGAGAGTTTTAACCTGTGACTATGATTGACATGTAAATGTTTCCTCCTGAGTTCACCCACCCACCAAGGGATAATTAGACCTGCCATTAACAAAATGCATACAGCAAGTTTATGTGAGATGATTTATGCTTTACAAAATAAAAACTACAATGCTTTTTTGCCAACAGAAGCATCTTCTTTTCTTATGGATCCTTCAATGTTTTAAGATAAAAAAAGCTAAATTTCCAAGTGCTGTATGCATCCACAGCAGACAAAGAGGCTATCGGAAATCATACGAGGCATACAGAAAACACTTACCTTTTGATGTGGAATGTTGATGACATTAGCGGTGTTGTTGATTACTGAATCGAAACCATCTCAAAGACTCAAACTAGGGAATACGAGACTCTACACCAGTTTGATTCGATTTCGTTGTAATCCCTACGAGATACCTGAGATTTGAAGGTGAATTCCGGACTAGTTGACATCGTCATACCACACAACAGAAACGAAACCCAAGTCGAAAAATCTATAGCTAGAGAGCAGGAAATTATGTAATAGTCGGAAAAAAACTGCGAAGAAACACATATAGCTGCTCATGGAGGTGATTAAGATTAACCCCTGGAATTTCATCATACCTGGAGACGGAGAAGGCCTTGGAGATTGACGGCATCGAGTTTCAGTGGATTTCATCATGTAAGCTGAGGAATCACAAGATCGGGAGAAGAAGAAGAAGAAGAAGACGATTATGGAAGATCATGCGATTGGTATTCGTCGGAGTCGAGATGGGGGAAAGAGAAGAAGAGGAGGAATGTCAATAATAGAATGAAAGAAGCAATGTTGAGATTGCTTGACCCGTTTACCTTCTTTCTCTTTTTCCTTTCTTTTTTACCTTTTTTTTTAGCTGAGAAGAATGGAATTTTATTTAAGAATAAGCAAGCGAAATTATCAGATATCTGATTAAATTATAAATGAAAGAATACAAAATTACAAATTTTGATATTGGTACGTAAATAAAATATATAAGATTTGGCCTAATCCCACTCGATCATTAATGGTTAAATTAAAAACAAAAACATTATTGATCGTTATATAGTAGTAGTATTGTAAAACGCAGATCATCATCATCCTTTGCAATCAACAAAATCCCACGGAAGCTCCTTTGATCTTCTTCTCTGATAAACAACAAACAACAAACAACAACAATGCAATCTGATTTCAAGTATATAAACGTTGTCCCAATCGGAAACGAGTTCGTCGATCCCATCCTCTCCCGCGTCCATCCGAATTTCCCCGGCAAGGGTTTCAACATCATCCGTCTCCGTCGATTCTACACGCGCACGGTGAAGAAGACACACCTCAGCTTTCTCGACAAGCTCTCCACCATTCTCGACGATTTTCCTCGCCTCGACGATATTCACCCTTTGTTCAGCGACCTTCTTCGCTTGGTTTTCGATAGAGATCGCTACACGTTCGCTCTGGGTCAAGTGAGTACCGCGAGACAGCTCATCACCAACATCGCTAACGATTATGTGAAGCTTCTCGAGTTTGGTGAGTCACTGAAGCACTGCAAATCCTTAAAAGCGAACGCTTTTGGGGGAATGCATAGTGTTGTAAACGAAATCACTTCTAGCTTGGCTTATCTAGAGCAGATCAGGCAACACATGGTAAGGCTTCCTTCGATTGACCCAAATACACCAACACTGTTGATCTCTGGGTACCCTAATGCGGACAAGACTTGTTTTGTGGACATAATCAATACCGGAGGAGCTGGTGATGATGATGATGAGTTCACCACAAAGTCGGAGATTTTTGCTGTTGGTCATACTGATTACAAGGATTTGAGGTACCAGGTGGTTGATGCACCTGGGGTTTTGGATAAGCCTATATTTGGAGACTGCGATGTTATTATCACTGGATTGGCTTGTCATCTTCCAGCTTCTCTTGTTTTGTTCTTTCTTGATGTCTCTGGTTCGTGTGGCTACAGCGTTGCGCACCAGGCTGGTTTTTTCCACAGCTTAAAGTCTCGGTTTTTGAACAGACCTTTGCTAATTGTCTGCGACGAGACTGATTTGATGCAAGTCTCTGAACAAGATTGGGAAGTGATTGAAGAGATGAGTAGTGGGACGATATTGGGAGGAATGGAGGAAGAAGAGGTGGGTTTGAAGATTTGTAATCTGAGGACGGAAGAAGGTATAATGTCTGTGAAAAATGCTGCCTGTGAGAGGCTATTCGACCAAAGAGAGAGACTGAGTAGCATAGCTCAGGCCAAAGCTGAGATTTCCAGAGACAGATACATCTTGGCTTATCAAGAGTGGATAGACGACGAGACAAGTTCTCAAAATCTTGATGATGATCATCATAGAGTTCCAGACTTGTTGGTTGATTCGGACGTTTTGTTAAGGCTTGAGGATTTGGAACGTGAAGGAGTAAAGCAGTCTGAAGAAGTAAAGCAACCTGAAGAAGAAGAAGAAGAAGAAGATTTTGTGATGGCCGAGGAACGTTTTACAGAGGAGCGCAAGGATCAACTAGTTGGCATTCGCAAGATTCAACCCTTGCGGATATTAATAGCCTTATCATTTTTTATCCTTGTAGGGAATACTTGTGGAGCCATGAGCCATTCAACAATGTCTTTTGTAAAATATTTTTTGAATGATTAGACTAAATTGACGAATACTTTGATCTATCTAGTACCGGAATAACAACATTTCTAAAACATTGTCTCATTAACTAATATCATCTATACATTAAAGGCAATTGGCTGATACGAACATGTGTGTGTGTTGTGTTGTGTTTGAAGTTAAGATGTGAATATGTTGAAAATCAAGTAAAAGAAAACAAGGATTATTTTGTTGACGTCATAATAAGGAAAAAACCGACGTCGTTATATAATTAGACCGACACCATAACAGACGCACACCGCTCAATTTCCGGCTCACAGTCAACCAAATCTTGCAATTTCGGTTTACGTTTTTGTTGCTAATCCGGTTTAGAATATATATAAAAAAAAAACTGTAAGGAAAAAAAAAGGAAAAATCTCATCTTTCCCTCGACTACAACCACCTAAGGGTTAGGTTTATTTCTCTTATTTCTCTCTACTTCTTTTATTTTCCCTATTCCGATTCCGATTTCGATTTGTCTTCTCCGATTCTCCCTTTCATTCGCTTTCTAGTCTCTAGGGTTTCTATATCGGATTTCGAATCGGATCTGTAGTTAGACATGGACACTCGTAAGAGAGGACGGCCTGAAGCTGGCTCATACAACTCCAATGGCGGCGGATTTAAGAAGTCTAAGCAAGGTTAGCTCTTTCACTCTTCCTTGTTCGTGTGACTGTTTAGCTACTACAATTCTGTTGAATTGCAGACCATTCTTTTCACTTACTTTACTTCACTGGATTAAAATTTGAGATCTTCATTCCTGGATTAGTATTTTTTTTTGTGTTGTAACTGGATTCGGCTAGTGTTGATTTCTGCAATTTAAGTTCCGTACTACTTTTACTCAGTATAAACAGGTTTTTATGTTCTTGTTGCTAGTCATGAGGTTTACTAGGACTTTGGTTTAGGTCTTGCTTTCTCACTGCTGTGTTTTTGGTGATTTCTTCTTCTTGCTTGCTCACTTTCCTGGCTTATTTGCTAGATTTACAGCAAAAGCTGCAGCCTTTTTTTTTTTGATCTGAATCAAATCTTAATTCCGTTAATTGCTCTGTTGAGTAATGATGGATGAGCTTTTTTCAAGTGTGTTTCAGGGATTTTGGTCCCAAGCTTATATTTTTTTTCATTGTCTCTTGAATTTCAGTATTGCTTTAGCTTAATCCCTTTTCTCAAGTAGTATAAGCTAGTAACTTCTTATCACCATGGCCAGAGACCAAGTTTACTTGATTGCATTAGCCTTTTTCTGTTTCAGCTATTCATGTGTCAAGTTGTTTACAAAATAACCCTGAAAAATTCCAGAATATCATGCAGCTTTGATTTTTTTAAGTCCCAAGTTTCATATAGATGAATGATATGTATGATTCTAAAGCAATAATATCATTGAACTTCAGAAAAGTCTTAACCAAAGTAAAACACTTAATGTTTGGAACAGAGATGGAATCATATTCAACTGGTTTAGGAAGCAAATCGAAGCCATGCACAAAATTTTTCAGGTTATAATCCTTTCACTTAACTGGATTAATATTCAAATTGTTATTTATCTGCGAGTCTGGCCTTGAAAGTTAACAAGTAAAACTGTACGCTAATGAAGTGGTTAGTTGTTATTACAGGTACGTAGCATCATTCATGCTAAACAAGTGAAAAAAAGTTATGGATATAATAATTATAGTTCTCACTAGGAACAGAAAAACATACTTGGGTTATAATTAGAAACATTTAACTTAGCTGGTAGTCATAGTGTACTAAAGCAAATCAAAACTTGTCATATGTTTGAGCTGTGATAGTTATTAAGAAATGTGTTGTATTCTTTCTTCTGTTTGTTAGTTAGGTATTAGTGGTTTTATGTTTGCATTATGATCATTTATTGCCGGGTAAGGTTCTTGCATTACTGGTGAACATGTCCTTCATCGTTAAGCAGACCAAGAAAATATCTTTGTTCACTCGTCAGAATTATATCGTCTTGCCAATTATTCTGTGTTTCAACTGTTTGTTCTCTTGTGTCGTCATAATGCCATTGGGTTTAACTCTCTGATGTGTTTGTTATGCCTTTCTCTTGCAGCACTTCTGGCTGTCCTTTTGGAGAGAACTGCCACTTCTTGCATTATGTTCCTGGAGGATACAATGCTGTAGCACAGATGACAAATATGGGACCACCCATGCCTCAAGTTTCCAGAAACATGCAAGGATCTGGTGGTGGGGGACGATTCTCAGGGAGAGGAGAGTCTGGACCTGGACATGTCTCTAGCTTTGGTGCCTCAGCCACTGCCAAAATCAGTGTCGATGCTTCATTGGCCGGCGCAATCATTGGAAAAGGTGGAGTCAGTTCGAAACAGATATGTCGCCAAACAGGTGCAAAGTTGTCGATTCAAGATCACGAAAGAGACCCGAATCTGAAGAACATTGAGCTCGAAGGAACATTTGAGCAGATAAACGAAGCGAGCGCAATGGTTAGAGATCTAATTGGGAGGCTTAACGCGGCAGCTAGGAAACCACCAGGTGGTGGTGGTGGTGGTGGCGGTGGCGGAGGCCTTGGTTCTGAAGGGAAACCGCATCCAGGGAGCAACTTCAAGACGAAGATCTGTGAGAGATTCTCGAAAGGAAACTGTACATTTGGTGATAGATGTCACTTTGCACACGGCGAAGCAGAGCTACGCAGGTCAGGAATTGCCTAGTTGCTTGAGTAAGAGAATTTGCTGTCAACAAGTCTCTTCTTTTGTGGGGGTTTTATGTAATACCATTTTATCTACTTTTTTTATTTTTGTCTTTGGTTATGAGAATACAATGTTAGTTTCATTGTCATTGTAAGTTTTTTCTATTTGGTGTTTTTTAGAATTTTAGTTTTGGTTAAATCGAATTGAGATGTGAGACTTAAGAATGATCAACAAACTTAGAAACAGTGATTAGGATTGTATGCTGCCTCGATTTATAATAATGTTTACTCTGTTGTTGACATGTATGTCGCATTTATCTTTTCATATAATTTTCTTAGAATATGTTTCGAATACTAACTAAAACACTACTATTAACTTGTCAATTTAAGGTCTAGATATGAATTTCAATTTTCAACTATCCATCTCAATTTGGTTAAAATGTAAATCTAGCTTACTAGTTTTGTTCCACATACTCTTTTTAATCGCATTTATTTAACGTATATTTTTCGAGTATCACCACCATTCCCAACTTTTTAACCGTATTTACCAGTTCTCTGCCAAATTATCGTAACTAATTGAAATAATTGAAATAATTGGTGTAGTCTATTCTTCTCTCCAAAACTTTCGCTTTTCGAGTGTAGTATGGTGTTTCCATTTATTATTTTGGCTATAACTTTTTGTAGGATTAACTAATTTTTTGCTTTGAGATAACAATTTTCTAATCATGTAACGGGTTATAAATATTAAAAGATCATTAACGGTTTTAAAAATCAATATATAATATTTTGTTCTTGTAAATTACTTATAGTAGAAAATTAGCAACAATACAAGTTCACTTATGTTCTTATTGGTACGTTATTTTAAGAATGAAGACTTTTTATACATCAAATTTAATTTTTATAATAATGTCTGATAGACTATAAAATCCGTCACTGATAGCAACGGCTGAATAAATGAAATAAAATCTTGGTGGTTTGATCATGAAGATCTTAAAAAATGCTGAAAAGAAGATGTGTCGTTATAAGCGGTAATGCTTAGGAAAATAAAACACTAAAAAATCTCTAATATTAAGAGAGAGACCCCTAATCAAGTAATTAACTTGTCGCCGCCTACTTGTTTTCTTCGTCTACCACCTAATTTAATTATTATAATATCAATCCTGATAGTATATTAAAATCCGCACGAATCTCCCAACCAAAGTAAATCACACTTGGGTTTTTCCTTCACGTGACAACCAACCACAATGTCTGTAGAGATATTTTAAGTGCTGCACATGGCAGAAGAAGCCAACCACGATCCTCCATTTTCCACTTTTTTCCCGCCACCAATACTTTGTGACTTGTTTAGTCGCCAAAGACGTCTCATCAGACTTAAAGACAGCACGTATCACCCCATCACTCCTTACAATTTATTACATTTCAGAAATAAATAAAAAAAATCATAATATCAAAATTTCGAAACCTGTAGAAAAACAGATTATTTTACCATTTTAAATCGTCTAGCGAAAGAAATAAAATTACTACATCCTAAAGTTCCCCTAACTCATATTGGCGAGAGCGAAAGTAAATGGTGTTTCGCCTTAGAAATAAACATTAATATCACTTTTTAATTTTTGAATACCAAATCTACCAATATTTAATACTAAAATTAAAATGAAATAAATAAAACATGTACATTTCTGTTTTCCGTAAAGGTTTGTAGTTCTTTTGCCGTAAAGATGAGATATTTTGAATAGAAAAGTAAGAAAGAATAGAGAAAAAATAAAAAGAGGAGAGGAAGAAAAGTGGGGCCCAAATTGATAAAATTAAGAGAGATGTCACTGAATCCTCTCATCTATCGACCCACGGGCCATCAATTTAAACGGCCTACCCTTTGCCATTCTCATCTGACCAGAACCAGACAGATTCAATCAAAATTTCATAGAGAGAGAGACAAAGAGAGAGAGAGAGGGAGGTTCTGCGGAGGAGCTTCTTCGTAGGGTTCATCGTTATTAACGTAAAATCTCCCCTACGTCAGCTCAAGGTCTCTTCTTCTCTTCCATTTCTTCTCATTTCTGGTCTGTGTTTTTTCTCCTCCCTAGTCTCTCTATCATTTCGTATTCTCAATCGATTTCATGATAGATCTGCCACTATTTATTGCATTCTACTATAGATCTGGTCCTCTATTCTCTGTATTCCAGTTGACTAATCTGATGATGTTTTTTTTTATCATCTCACCATTAGTACTGTGTTCTCTCGTTCGTTAAATGATTAGTGTCTATCGTCGATCAAGTGAAATGTTGCATCGTCGTTCCTTTTTTCAAATATATGAAAGTGTCTTTGACTATTGGATCTTTATTTTAATTTATTTTTCGGTGGGTTGGTGGAACAGAAAAAGCATCAGGACATTTGCGTACTAGTCTCACGTCCTGAATTCAGAAATACCGTCTGTGTTCACTCGAGATTTGTTTTTGTTTTTGTTTTAGATCTGGACCTGAGTATATAAAATTGTATCATTTTCAGTTTTCTCTGGGTAAATTTTGCTCCTGATGTTGATTTTTTTTTTATTAGATTTGACCGATTCCTATTGATTTTTGATACTGTAATTTCATTGACTTGAGCTAAAAACTCGTGCTTTTAAATCGTTACAAATTATTTTGGGTTTACTTAAGGATCAGATGCTCTTCATAGATTCAGATGGAAAAAGAGTTGCATGAAAAAGTTATCTAGATTCGTGAGAATAAAAAAAAAAACGTACTTTTTGTTGTTTCTGTTCAAAATGTCTAAATTTGATAAAATATATGATGACGACAATTCCGGTGGATCACAGTTTGCTTCATTTGGCTTTTTTTGTGTGTTTGTCAAGTTGCTATTCAATAAGAATTTGTGATTTTGATTGGTCTCCTCAAAATTCTGTGAAATTTTAGTAACAAGGAAGAAATTAACAAATCACAACAAGAAAGAGATGTGAGCTGTCGTATCAAATCTTATTCGTTTTCTCAACGCAATCGTTTTAGTTTTTTTTAACTTAACGCCACTTCTCTGCTCCATACACTCCTTTTTGTCCACGTACTTTTCATTTGTGGTAATCCATTTCTTCACTTTGGATCTTTCATCTGAACAACAATTTCTTGACTCAATCAATTACCACCCGTTCTTGTGCTTTTGTATAGATTCATAATCTTGTGTGTTTCAGCTTCTCATTGCTTTGGTTCTTGTTTTTTTTTCTGCAGAAACATGGGTGCAGGTGGAAGAATGACGGTTCCTACTTCTTCCAAGAAGTCTGAAACCGATGCCTTAAAGCGTGTGCCGTGCGAGAAACCGCCGTTCACGCTCGGAGAACTGAAGAAAGCAATCCCACAGCATTGTTTCAATCGCTCAATCCCTCGCTCTTTCTCCTACCTTATCTGGGACATCATCATAGCCTCTTGCTTCTACTACGTTGCCACCACTTACTTCTCTCTCCTCCCTCAGCCTCTCTCTTACTTGGCTTGGCCTCTCTATTGGGTCTGTCAAGGCTGTGTCTTAACCGGAGTCTGGGTCATAGCTCACGAATGCGGCCACCACGCCTTCAGCGACTACCAATGGCTTGACGACACAGTCGGTCTGATCTTCCATTCTTTCCTCCTCGTCCCTTACTTCTCCTGGAAATACAGCCACCGCCGTCACCATTCCAACACCGGATCACTTGAAAAGGACGAAGTGTTTGTCCCTAAACAGAAATCCGCCATCAAATGGTACGGCAAGTACCTCAACAACCCTCTGGGACGCACCGTGATGTTAACCGTCCAGTTCACCCTTGGCTGGCCCTTGTACTTAGCCTTCAACGTCTCGGGGAGACCCTACGACGGGTTCGCTTGCCACTTCCACCCAAACGCTCCCATCTACAACGACCGTGAACGCCTCCAGATATACATCTCGGATGCTGGTATCCTCGCCGTCTGTTACGGTCTCTACCGTTACGCTGCTGCACAAGGAGTGGCCTCGATGATCTGCGTCTACGGAGTTCCGCTTCTGATAGTCAACGGGTTCCTCGTCTTGATCACATACTTGCAGCACACCCATCCCTCGTTGCCTCACTACGATTCATCCGAGTGGGATTGGTTCAGGGGAGCTTTGGCTACCGTAGACAGAGACTATGGAATCCTGAACAAGGTCTTCCACAACATCACGGACACGCACGTGGCTCACCACCTGTTCTCGACGATGCCGCATTACCATGCGATGGAGGCCACGAAGGCGATAAAGCCGATACTCGGGGACTATTACCAGTTTGATGGAACACCGGTCTTCAAGGCGATGTGGAGGGAGGCGAAGGAGTGTGTCTATGTAGAACCGGACAGGAAAGGTGAGAAGAAAGGTGTGTTCTGGTACAACAACAAGTTGTGAGGATGATCAGGTGAAAGAAGAAGGAAGAAAAATCGTCGGCCTTTCTCTTGTCTGGTTATCTTTGTTTTAAGAAGATATATGTTTGTTTCAATAATCTTATTGTCCATTTTGTTGTGTTCTGACATTGTGGCTTAAATTATTATGTGATGTTAGTGTCCAATTGTTCTGCGTCTGTATTGTTCTTCTCATCGCTGTTTTGTTGGGATCGTAGAAATGTGACTTTCGGACAATTAAACTCTTGTACTCAAGCTATCACTCTGTTGGCAGCATCAAAAGTGTTTTCATAGTTTCGGTCTTTTGGTCTCTGTTTGTTTGATACTGTTGGTGAGAATGGCTCTTCAAGTGTTGGAATCTACCTAAGGTGAACACATTGTAGGATTTTTCTTTTATTTAATTGCCATTGTATACCACACTGCAGTGAACCGCAACTATGTTGACCATGTCGATGAATGTAAGTGAACCATGAAACTAATCTTTCTGTACAATTTACTTACTTCTGAGTCATTGTGATGTTTGGTTGGCAGGTCACCTTTATTTCTCACACTCCCTCCACTCATGTGATGTGGTTGGGATTTTCTTTTCATAAGTAGCTTTTTGTAAAGAACTCAGTCTTTCTCTTTCAAATCATGGAAACCTTTTCAACAAAAGCCAAATCCATGTTACATAAGCAAAATATCTGCTTTCTTCATCTTTCCTTTCTTTCATATTTGAGAGGGAACAAAAGAAGAGGAAGAAAATGAAGCAAAGTAAATAACAAATCTCATTTTCCATTAATAGAAAGAAACACCAAAAGAGAAGCGAAAACAACAAGAATGAAATGTGGCGAGGAAAAACCAAAGAAAAAGAATGAATATTCTGTAAACAACTCCATGAACAAAAGACTTTTTTTCCAATACGAAACAATCTTTCATCCAACGGTACCACGGCTTCGGTTTGAGCTTAATCTAGAAGCATTTCCTGTGGACTATCGATGGCCCTGACTCATCATACTCAGCCTTCGCTATCCACATCTGCAAATACCAACAACATTGTGTGTATCAGAACACAGCTTTAAAAATGGGTAACAAGCAAAAAAAGGAACACAACAACAATATTACCTGTTGGAAGGTACTGAGTGAAGCTAGAATGGAGCCTCCGATCCAGACACTGTACTTCCTCTCAGGTGGAGCAACGACCTTAATCTTCATGCTGCTTGGAGCCAGAGCAGTGATCTCTTTGCTCATCCTATCAGCAATCCCAGGGAACATGGTGGTTCCACCACTGAGCACAATGTTCCCATAGAGATCCTTCCTGATATCAACATCACACTTCATGATCGAATTGTAAGTCGTCTCGTGAATACCAGCAGCTTCCATTCCAACCAAGGACGGCTGGAAGAGAACCTCAGGGCACCGGAATCTCTCCCCTCCGATGGTGATCACCTGTCCATCAGGCAGCTCGTAACTCTTCTCAACGGATGAGCTTGTGTTCGCCGTCTCCATCTCCTGCTCGTAGTCAAGAGCTATGTAAGCGAGCTTCTCCTTCACGTCCCTCACGATCTCACGCTCTGCTGTGGTAGTGAACGAGTAACCACGCTCAGTCAAGATCTTCATGAGGTGATCAGTGAGGTCACGACCTGCTAGGTCCAGACGCAGAATGGCGTGTGGAAGAGCATACCCTTCGTAAATCGGAACAGTGTGACTCACACCATCTCCAGAGTCCAACACAATACCTGAAAACAACACAAGACAACAAGAGACAAGCTATGGTTATAACATGTGTTCAACGCAATAAACGGATGGTGTTGAAAGGATGTGCTTACCAGTTGTACGACCACTGGCGTAGAGGGAAAGAACAGCTTGGATAGCGACATACATAGCCGGAGTGTTGAATGTTTCGAACATGATCTGAGTCATTTTCTCACGATTGGCTTTAGGGTTAAGAGGAGCCTCTGTAAGAAGAACAGGGTGCTCTTCAGGCGCGACACGGAGCTCGTTGTAGAAAGTGTGATGCCAAATCTTCTCCATGTCATCCCAGTTGTTCACAATACCATGCTCGATCGGATATTTGAGAGTCAAGATACCTCTCTTTGACTGAGCCTCGTCACCAACGTAAGCATCTTTTTGTCCCATACCAACCATCACACCAGTGTGACGAGGTCGACCAACAATGCTGGGGAACACAGCTCTCGGTGCATCGTCTCCAGCAAATCCAGCCTTCAAAAACGAAATTTGGACATGAATAAGATTTGCAGGAAACAATTGTATGAGAAAGGAGTTGAGAGATTTACGATCCACAAAAAGGCAAAATCAATCAGAATTTTAGGTACCTTAACCATTCCGGTTCCATTGTCACAAACAAGGGGCTGAATGTCCTCACCATCTGCCATTTTCTATTCCTGTGAATTGATTCTGAAATTTAGATATTTCAATGATTCGATTCTGAATATGATTTACAAACAAGAGAAATGCAATCAAATGAAGAAAATCTCAAACCACGAAATCTAATAACATCTCACCCAAAGAGAATTAAATCGAAAAAAGCTACATTGTCAATGAAAATAAGAAAAAAAATGGAGAAAATTTCTGGGAATGTATTTACCTTTAGTTTGAGAGGCAAAGAAACGAGCGAGAGAAGGAATAGCAAAAGAGCGAAAGGAGAAGAATAATGTGAGCCTTTGCGAAACAAAAGTTTTTAAAAGGAACAAAAAACGCCAATTTATATGCTTGAGAAGATCTCAACCGTCCATTCCTGAATTTCGTAACGATGGACGACCCCACGACGAGTAATGCTGATGGTGGAAACAGCTGTCTTTAGCTCTCAAAAGAGTAACGACATTCAAATTAATTAATTTTTTTACCAATTTGGTAACGTAACTGCAAATCTCTCTTACTCTGTAAAGTATTCAATGGCCTGGAAAAGTTCCGTAAGGAGACACATCCCAATCACAAAATCAATTCTATTAATGGGCTGTAAAATGCTTCCTTCCTACATTTGAATTTCATTTATTAAGTCCAACGTTGTAACAGCATTATACTATAGTTTATGTTTTGGTTTAAGCGTTTACAAAATTACAAGTTTAAAAAGACTATGTAAAACAGATTTGACATTTCAATAAACCCAAATTTAGAGTCAATTAACTCTAGTGGTCAATCAATCTTCTTGACTTTTTGGGATTATATGGGCTCCGAAAATATTAATATAGCCCATTCATGATGGCAAATTCAGCATCTTTTATGGGCTTTGAGAAATGGCCCATTAACGTTCTTGTAGACGGAGAGGTATAAGAGTTGTTGATTCTTCTTCCCTTTAGTTAGAAATTTAACTGGAATTTACACATTTCAGGATCAAACAAACCAAGAAAAAATGGAGAGATCCATTTCTTTTGATCATCGACGCGATAACGATCTTCCGAATGATCGGAGCAGCGATATCGGATATACTGCCAATGATCGGAGGCTTGCTTACTCCCGCTCGTTTCAGCAGTCTCACGGTCCACGAACGCCGGCGGTCACGGAGGCGGCTAAGCCTTTTCTCGATAGGACGGTCTCCAGCATCGATATGCCGCCGGAGATATACTCCGTCGACGGAAATGATGTTTTCTTCGGAGAAGGGAAAGCAGCAGACTTGGGGAAAGTATCGGTTTTGCATATGGTTTGGGAGATTTTTGCTGTTCTGAGAAGTGGAAATCGGCAGATGAAGAGGCTGTTTCTGCTGATATCGCTTAATGTGGCTTATTCTACCACAGAGCTCTCAATTGGGCTCTTAACTGGGCGTGTAGGTACGAAGGGTTTATATCTATGAAACATTTTGTACTTGGTTGAGTTATTGATATCTTTGTTAAGGGAGAGACTTGGATTTGTTGAAAAAATTAAGACTTTAGGTCAATGACAGCTTCACTTCTTTACTTGGAGTAGTCACTAGAGATATAGATGAAATAAAACAGCTAAAACCGCAAAATTTTGGTTCAAGTCTTAAGTTGATATACTATATTAACTGTGTTACCTTTTTGGTGCTGTTTTATGGATTCCTACAGGTTTGGTTTCCGACGCATTTCATCTGACATTTGGATGTGGTCTCTTGACATTTTCTTTATTTGCAATGGCAACTTCAAGGAAGAAGCCTGATCATGCTTACTCATATGGGTGAGGAAAAAAATGTAAAATTTAGCCTGCTTAGTTGGTGATTGTATTTGCTAGAGATATAGTTCGGAATGCACGCTTTGTGGTAGTTAACGTTTGATTCCCCAATTTGTCAAATTGTTTTTTTCTTTTCTTTCTCTTTCTAGTTATAGATGTGGTTACTAAGGTTCTGTTTGTTGGAAAGTACATCCGTTGTTGTTTTAGTAGGATGCAGTATTGTCTGATTGCTAAAATTGAAAACTTATCTTTTGATTTTCTTTTTTGCTGCTGATACTGTAATCGCATAATACTGAATTGTTAGATATCCTTGTCTTTTATTTATCCCAGGTACAAAAGACTTGAAGTTTTATCTGCTTTCACTAATGCTGTAAGTATGTTTTTAACGTGTTTTGGTTTTAGTTTGAGGTTATAAGAGCTTATGTGACATGCAATAAAACAGATTTTAATACCGTGCTGAAAATAGTGTTGAGAGCTTAACTCAGTAGTAGCACTCTTTCCTTTACTGTTGTTGATAGAGGAGAGTGATTTCCTTCTTTAAAAAATGTGGACTTATGTTTTCATTTTGCCTTCAGTACCTCATTGTCTGTAGTTTATATATTGGGTTAACACATTATTATGTTTAATATTTGGCATATGTGTAGACAGCTGTTCCTTATGTTCATGTCATTCTCCTTAGCCGTGGAAGCTCTTCATGCATTTATACAAGATGAATCAGAGCACAAGTAAGTTGCTTTTTACATTTTTCATGCGTAGGAGTTTCTAAATATTTTCTGGCATTGATCAAGTTCACAGTAGTTCTTCCCTCTTGCTCCTTTTTATTAGTGTGATTGATTGAAATCTCCTTTATGTAGGCATTATCTGATTGTATCAGCGGTAACAAATCTGTTGGTGAACCTACTAGGTGTTTGGTTCTTCCGGAATTATGCTCGTGTCAATATTGGTATGCATTCTCTGTTATATCTTCATGCTTAAGTTTTGGTTAGAGTTGCGGCTTTGGATTATTTCATTTGTAAAAAAAATTGACCACCTTTGTCAGTGTAAAGCCAAAAAAGTAAGGGTTTGTGGTTAAGATAGAATTAGTACGAGGATTAGTAGAAATAGAGAGACAGCATGATAGCAACTGATCTGGCCAAGACTATCCACACCGCATTTTTCTTGAGTTTCTTTCTTACACATATTATTCTGCAGCGTACAGAAAAGCAGAAGATATGAACTACCACTCCGTTTGCTTGCATGTCATATCAGATTCCATCCGCAGGTATTTATATCTCTCTGTATTTCTTTATCTCAAGCAGAGCCGCAGAGCTAGATAGGAAAAAAATGCTTCTTTTTGCATGGAACTTGTATACAGCCAAAATGAACTTTCTTTGCTGCTGTCTTTTCAGTGCAGGTTTGATACTGGCATCTTGGCTTCTCTCTCTCGGGTAATACTCGCTTCCTTTGAAGGAGCTAAATATATAAAATGTGTATTTTGCTTGAGCTCTTACATTTTATATGTGCTCCTTGTGTGTTGGATTTCTCAGGGTTAAAAATGCAGAGGTCCTATGTTTGGGATTGGTATCGGTTACAGTGTTCATGCTTGTTATGCCACTCTTCAAAGCCACTGGTGGTGTCTTGCTTCAGATGGCACCTCCAAACATTCCTTCTTCTGCATTAAGCAAATGCTTGCGACAGGTTCGCTTCTTTTCCAAAAGTGTTTCCCGAATGTGTGTACATATTTCCCATATAGACAGAGAGATCGATCAAAGCCGGGTTTGGCTTCAACTCTCTTTCTGTGCAGATTACTTCTCGAGAAGATGTCATGGAGGTTTTGCAGGCACGTTTCTGGGAGGTTGTGCCTGGTCACACTGTTGGCTCACTCAGAATCCAGGTACTCGCTTCTTTCTTGTTTTCATATCAGGTTAAAACATGAGTTCACAATAGGAATAAAAATGATTTGAGTTTTGTTGTTTTGGTTTCGGGATTAGGTGAAGAGCGGGATAGATGAAAGGCCTTTACTGCAGTATGTGTATGATGTATACCATGATTTGGGTGTACAAGACTTGACCCTGCAAACGGATTACACCTGAGCTGCATCTATGTTTTAAAAAATTTATGTATACTAGAGATTATGGTTCTATAGGAAAACAAATTTTGGTTTCAAGTTGTGACTTTCTTGTTTCGTTCGTGTCTATTGAACCACAAGGTCCACAGCACAAGGACCACAATCTTTGCAACTCTTTTAGTCTTTTAAGGTTGTGGATATTTTGGCTCATTCATGGCGTACTGCGAGTTAAATGAAACAAGATATTTACGATTATTCTTGTTTATACCAAGAAAAGGAATCACATATCATCATATTATGCCCGCTACCTATAAACCTAATATTCTAAGTTATGGGGCCGGTAAAAGCATCTTAAAAAAGAAAATTCATCGATTGCGAAATCACCATCAGTCCATGTCTACATTATTCTTTGCTTACCATTTGCTTCATTGGTCATTGTGAATTTTTATTTTATTTAATATATGATCCATTATATAAACCATGATTGCAGTTTTTGGACTAAAAGTTAAGAAAATTATGTGTAATTGTACTATTAAGTACATTTTAAAATTTTTTAGTCTGCTCCAACGACAGAAACGTATAAAATAAGATAATAAACAAGACAATTGTCCAAAAAGACGCTTTTATTTGAAACAAAATACGATTTTAATGTTATTGTTTAATTGATTCAAATCAATAGAGGACCAGAGAATATGGGCATGAATCATCAAACCATTAACTCTAAACCTTTTCCCTTAAAAAAAATTCCCAATTGATAAGAGAGAATCAAAAGCAAAAAGCAGAGTTAAGCAATATAATATCTAAAAAAGAAGAAGATTGTAAGATAAAGCTGATGAAATTCACATTGCAAGAAGAGAATTAATCTGTTTACTGAAGAGAGAGAGAGATATAGACAAGACACTGTTAAGTCTCTGGTTTCTTCTTGATAACATCACTATGTACAGATTCAGCAACACAGTGATTGGGGTTTTAAACCTCCTCAGCTTACTAGCTTCGATACCAATCATAGGAACCGCTCTATGGAAGGCAAGAAGCAGCACGACTTGCGAAAACTTCCTTCAGACGCCGCTGCTCGTAATAGGATTCATCATACTCTTAGTATCGCTTGCGGGTTTCATAGGAGCCTGTTTCAACGTGGCATGGGCCCTTTGGGTGTACTTAGTGGTCATGATCTTCCTCATCGCGACTCTAATGGGTCTAACGCTGTTTGGTCTGGTGGTGACGAGCCAAGGAGGTGGTGTGGAAGTACCAGGGAGGGTCTATAAAGAGTATAGGCTTGGAGACTATCATCCATGGCTGAGAGAGAGAGTTAGAGATCCTGAGTATTGGAACTCCATTAGAAGCTGTATCTTGACCTCCAAGACTTGTGCTAGGATTGAAACTTGGACTACACTTGATTACTTCCAACAGGACATGTCATCTGTTCAGGTATGATCATCCCACATCGTGTTTTGTTCTTCTGTTTATAATTTTCAAATAAATAAAGTAAAAAGTTGATTGTACTTTTACATTTTTGCTAGTGTGTGATGGTTATAGCTAAAGATTAATAGTATTGTGAATGTAGTCGGGATGTTGTAAGCCACCGACGGCGTGTACGTACGAGGTCGGAGTAGTACAAGGAGGAGAGGATTGCTTCAGATGGAACAACGGAATCGAGATGTTATGCTACGAGTGCGATGCGTGCAAGGCTGGTGTTCTCGAGGAGATCCGTCTTGACTGGAGAAAGTTGTCGGTCGTCAACATTCTCGTCCTCGTCCTCCTCATCGCCGTCTACGCCGCCGGTTGCTGCGCCTTCCACAACACTCGCCACGCCGCTCATCCTTATCATCCTTCCGACGACAACCGCATGACCAAAGTCCGTCCTCGTTGGGACTATTACTGGTGCGCGCACATGATTATTGACTAATTTCATCTCTTTCATATTACTAAAAAAAATATTTTTGACAAAAAGCAATTTCGTGTTTCCTTTTTTTATTTACAGGTGGAGATGGTGGCACGAAAAGAAAGAGCAGCTTTACTAGAAACTTCACCGTCTATGTTACCTTGTTTTCGTCATTTTCATTTTACCAACTTGAGACTAAGAAAACACAAAGATGTGATATGTTGATGTAAGTTCCTATAATTTATCAAGAGGTTATAGTAAGATTTGTTTTTAGACACTACACGCTTGATGTTAGTGAGAAGCAAAACATTTTTTGATAGTGATTGTTTTTCAATACATTTGTTACTCACAATTAAACAAAATTTACATCTCCCGTTAATTATGCCCCCTTGGTTGCAAGATTTCTCTCACGTGTAAGACCTGACATCCTCATTGTTCCTCCACCTGCAGAATTTCCCAAGTTTATCGTCATGATTATCTTCAAAAAGAATTTACTAAGTCTTTAATATGCTAAAAAAAACTCGAACCTCCTCCATTTTTGTCAGATCTTTTACGGCTGCGCCAAAGAAGACGAATAGGAGTCCCAGCAAAGCCTGCATCAGTGCGTAGCTGCTTCTCCATATATCTTCTGTACGTATCCGAAAACAGCTTTGCATCGTTTACAAAGAACACAAACGTCGGTGGCCTTATTGCTGCCTGCATTATCACAATCAAATATTTTAATACAAACCCCCCAAAAGACTAAAGATTTTCATCTACTGCTTATAGAAGAAAGAAACATTGGGACATGTTATTCTTGTTTTTTACCTGGGTGCAGTAATAGACGCGGCCTCGTTTGCCACCTCGGGTTCTTGGAGGGGATTTAAATGCAACCGCTTCTCTTATCACTTGGTTCAGTATAGCGGTACTAAGTCTTCTTGATCTTTCCTTTTGAACCGTCGCAGCAGCAACCACAATACTACATACATTTTTTGGGGTTCATATAAAATCCAACAGAATAAGTAAAACCAAAGTTTAAAGATCCGACAATAGTGTTTAAATCCTGAAGAAAGGAGACGTACTTGTCAACGCTATGGCCTTTGATTGCAGTTGAGTAAACAATGGGTGCCCATTTGAGGGAACGGAGCTTCTCACGAACATCGTCCTCGTAATGAGCTGCGGTCTGTTGGTTTTTGTTTGGTATTGTATCCCATTTGTTTACAACCACCAGACATCCTTTCCCTTCTCTCTCTATTCTTTCTGCAATCTTCATATCCTGTGTTTCCAGTGTAACAAACCATTAAGGAACGAGAAGAAGATCAAAATTTTCATATGAATAGGAAGGTTATATAAACCATTAGTTGCAACTGCTAATGAGAAACATTCATCAGTGTCAAGCTACTAGTGAGGCACCTGCTCTGTTATGCATGCCATGGCTTCAATAACAAGAGCAACAACATCAGAACGACGAATTGCTCGGAATGCACGATTCACTGACAGGGCCTCCGTAGTGCTGCCTGATGAAGCCACAGCTGCCTTTTTCCTGATCCCAGCCGTATCTATAAGCCTAAACTTCTGCAATACAGTTCATAGTCATCATATTCACGGTTATATGGAGGAAACATCATAGAAGCCTTTTCAGTGGAATTCTCTTACTGGATGAAAACTAAGCAACTAATAAAGTTGAACTAACCTCCCCATCTGGTCCGGTAAATTCTGCGTCTATAGCATCACGGGTAGTGCCACTAACAGGGCTAACAATTGTTCTATCCTCTCGGACAAGTGCATTCAAAATGCTACTCTTGCCAACATTTGGCCGGCCTATAATTGCAATGGCAGGAATGTAGTTTTCTTCTTCCTCCTCTTCAATGTTCTCCATGATCTAGAAACAAAACATTGGATCAAATGGATGCAACAGACGTAAGAAGAAGTTTCGATATTTGGTTTGTAAACCGATGCCAAGTTAACAATTCCAAAATGCAAATTAAGGGTGTATAGGCTTAAACATCACAACCAACGATTTTCGAATAATCCATATTCCTGTACCAAAGTTTTTTCCAAAGAAAGAATACAAACCTCGAGTTTATTTAGTCCAGAACAGACAAGATCAAGCAGCTCTCCTGTTCCGGTTCCCGACAATGCAGAAATAGGGATAGGTGAAAACCTGGATATTCCAATCATTGTTAACTTAATGCCACATAACTGTTAAAAACGAAGAACCAAGTTTGTGCGAAGGACATGATTCTGAAGTAGGATGTAAGTGAACGTACCCTAGGGACCAAAATTCGGAGGCCTGCATGAGTCCTTTACGTGGTGATTCACATTTGTTGACCGCGAGGATGATGTTCTTATGTGAGTAGTACTTCCGCAACCAGTCTGCAATTTCCACATCAGCACCTGTAGGCCCTGACTGCGTATTGCGTAACCAAAATCATTACCATATATCAATGACATTGCATGATGAATACCAAGAAACACACAATTAGGATCTACAGCAAGAAAAAGATGACAGCGACCAAATCATGTTTTTGTTGAAGAAGACAGGAGAATAAAAGCCACAAGAACAGAACCTGGCCATCGACGACGAAAACAATGACAGCTGATTCTTCGACAGCCGCTGTAGCTTGTTTCTCAATCATGGAAGGCATCCTCGCAACAGCTGCCTCCCTCGAGCTCAGTGGAATACCTTCCATGCCAATGGTGGTTGACACGTTGAGCTCTTCCATGACACCAGCTGGCGACTTTGAGACAGTCATGACTCCTCCTGTGTCCACCACTACAAACTCTTGATCACCCCAGTAGGATCTTCCGTACAACCGATCCCTCGTCACTCCAGGTTCGTCCACTACAATTGCTTTATTCTCCTGCAAAATTGTATTAAGTTACAAGTTGATTTTTCTACCATTAAACGCTAATGAAATTTTGAAATTTCGAGATGTCAGAAAAGCTTTTACCCCAACGAGACGGTTGAACAATGCTGATTTTCCGACATTGGGCCTTCCAACTATGGCGACTCTTTGGAGGAAATGCTCCGGTATCTGCGTCTGTTTTTTGTATTTTACAGTAACCAAAAGACTCGTCGATAAACCAACACAAGAAAAACTCAACCTTTTACATGAACTTTCTGAGACAGCAAAGCAAGAATATCAGAAAGGAGCTTGACTAACATTTTTGGCTTGCCTTTTCCCCTTTCTACGTGTTTCCTTCCCTTCAATCACCTCATCCTCTGGAAAACATGATCATTATTCAGAGTCAATAGATACAGAGTACACACTGACACTGGATCTCACAAATATGCAGAAGGGCACAATAATTACCGAGTTTGAGTTCGCGAGACAAAGTAGTAGCGTAGTCTCTGGCGATATCTCTCGCTTCTTTTTCCAGAATGGAGATATCGAGGGAGAGGTCTTCGTCATCCGAATCATCCGCGTAACTGTCTTCAGAAACTTCCTCGGATTCCTCTAATTCTAGGTCGTCTTCAGCGGAGGGACCATCCAGAGCTGCTGCAACTGGGAAAGGGAAGCGAGAATGCGACTGTTGGTGAGAGCAAGACAGAACGGAGGGAGGTAAAAAGGATGGGACAATCGAAGAAGAAGCAAACGAAGATGAAGAGGCTAAAGAAGAAGAAATCCTAGAAACAGAGGGAATAGAGAAGAAGCCTCTTGTTGTCAGTGAGTCAAGTAGACTCGCCATTTTTTTTTGGCAGAGGAAGAGAAGAAGAAGGTTTATCTCACTTATCTTCTGGGTTTTTATCATTTGAGGATGATGGATCCGGAACCGGTTCAACCCGGTTTTAATTTATAAACTCGGGTTTTCTGGTATCCTGTCCGGATTTGAAGGAGACGAGCTGATTTCGTGCGATAACCGGTTTTTTTTTTCCGGCTTATAAACAATCTGGTTTTAGAATTGCTATACGGACCGAATCAGTGCTCGACCGTCTTCTTCATCGTGTGACGAAGGAAGAAGTTTTCAGACTTTGGCTTCTCTTCTCGAGGTTAGTTCGTTTCTCTCTCTCATATCGCCCTTTTTCTATTATCTGTAAGATTAAGTTCCTTTTATGTCTCTGTCGATCTACTAGCTCCGATTCTGATCTATCAATCATATAGTCCGGTAATTGTTTAACTATATGATTTTCTTCCTTCTGCGATCAATTAAAGATCTTCTTATGCTCTGCCACTGATTTCATAGAACAATACATTAAAAGTTTTGGTCTTTTATATTCTACTGAAACTCCCAGCTAGCCTATGATCATAACCTGCAAAATCACAACAATGTCCCTTAAGAATCTATGTACCTGATCACTTGTTTAGCTTAAATTTCTCTAGATGACTTTAACCCATTGACGGAAACTAAGCTTGAATCTCTTATGTTGTTTGTTTCTTGTGTTTGTGCCAAGTTATTGGATCCGATGGCAGACAAGCTCGCAGCTGACAAGCATGTTCGATACATTCTGATGGCAGAAAAGGTACTAGAAAGCTACTATCATTCATTTTCCTCATGCTCTGTGTTTATGTCACTATGATCAGCACTTGAACTTTCCTTTTTTCTCTTTCTGGTTTATACCAACTTGCTAGAAAAAAGAGAGCTTTGAGTCGGTGGTGATGGATCACCTGAGAATGAATGGTGCATACTGGGGGTTGACCACACTCGACTTGCTCGAGAAGCTCGGTTCTGTGTCTGTAGATGAAGTTGTGTCCTGGGTCATGACGTGCCAGCATGAATCTGGTGTGTGTGTATTAGAGTATTATATTTCTCAACCATACTTAATCGCTTGATGTTGCTGCATTTTGTAGTTAATTACAAGTGGTTCGTTTTTGTGAGCAGGTGGGTTTGCTGGAAATACTGGACATGATCCGCATATTTTATATACACTCAGTGCTGTACAAATCTTGGCTCTCTTTGACAAACTAAACATTCTTGATGTCGGAAAAGTATCAAATTGTATCCTTTGAGCTTTCAACTTATAGTCCATGTGAACAGATATAAACTTGGCAAATAGCTTATGGCATATACTACTGTGTTTTCCTTAAGTACACAAACTAGATATTGCTAAATTGCAAAATGAAGATGGATCCTTCTCGGGAGATATGTGGGGAGAAGTAGATACAAGGTGGGTAGCCTTTCTTCCTAACTATTTAGTTCTTCCAGGTTGTGATTTTCACTTTTGTTTATCTGCAAGTTTGTTTGATGTAGGTTTTCTTACATAGCTATATGCTGTCTCTCGATCTTGAAATGCCTTGATAAGATCAATGTGGATAAGGCGGTTGATTACATTGTGAGCTGCAAAAACCTGGATGGTGGTTTCGGGTGCACACCTGGAGCGGAGTCTCACGCAGGACAGAGTACGTTCATGCTAATTTTGAGTATTTTCCGTGACATCACCATTCGTTTCTATTTAGCATCAAAATGGTACTTAAAAGGACATTTATTCTTTATTTTTTGCTGCAGTTTTCTGTTGCGTGGGTGCTCTTGCTATTACTGGGAGTCTCCATCGTGTTGATAAGGACTTACTTGGATGGTGGTTATGTGAAAGACAAGTCAAGTCTGGGGGTTTAAATGGACGACCCGAGAAACAACCTGATGTAAGCTTAATAATACTCCCTATCCAAAGTTAAAACATGATTTCAATTGCTCTTAACACGCTTTTGATTGTTCTCTCATATACCAGGTTTGCTATTCTTGGTGGGTCTTATCGAGCTTAATCATGATCGATAGAGTTCACTGGATCGATAAAGCAAAGCTTGTCAAGTTCATCTTGGACTGTCAGGTTTGTCTCCAAAATATTGCTGCTATTGGTTTTTCTAAAGCTCTCATCTTTTAGAGGCTTTTCCTGAGTTTCAGTTGTAACTTGAATAGGATATGGAGAATGGAGGCATTTCAGATAGACCTGACGATGCTGTTGATATCTTTCACACTTACTTTGGAGTTGCAGGTAACTGAAAAATTGCTTCTCTTTAGCTCATCTTGTTAATGTGAAGCAAAAGAGTTTGTGTCACATGAATACAAAATTGGTGCAGGGCTCTCTCTTCTCGAGTACCCTGGAGTCAAACCAATTGATCCTGCCTATGCTTTGCCGGTCGATGTCATCAATCGGATTCTTTTAACCAATTGATTGATCATCAGAATTCAGAAGGACGGGTAGGCATTGGAATTTAGACAAATCTCCACTTTCGGTTCTTATATTCTGGTTAAGTTTGTGTTAGACATATCTTTACTATTAGTTGCAGTGACAAAACCATTTACAATCTCAAACATCTCCCATGAATTGGGTTTACAAGCAAGAAACGTGGACATGGCACTAATCTGATCCTCTTCACTTGCTCTCTCTCTTCACTTTCTTTCCATCCATCTGTAATCATCTAAAAGGATACAGATTCAACTCCTATAACCAGTAGGTTTCCGGCGTCTGTTGCCACGGAGCCGGTGGAGCTTTAGGAGCAACTCGGCGTAGAGAATTTCGTTCCAAGAATCAGGCACCCCTGGGAGGCACCAGTGGCTACAGTCTTGGTACAACAATGGCGATTTGCTTTCTTCTTCAGATAGTTTCTGTTTCCGGTAAATCGAAGGGTGAGCGTCTTTCCTGTAGTCCGTTAACCTCGTGATGTTGAGATACGTGACGGGCGTTTTCATTCCACTAAGAACCCTTTCAAGTATTTCCATTTTAGGCGGGTAAGGCGTTAGGTAAGTCTCGTTCTTGATCGGCTCTGTTTCATCGTCGCACGCCCCTCCCGCATTCCATTGCCCGCCGCTGCAACCAAACCAAACCAAACCAAACCAAACCGAACTTTTTTGTTTTCAAACAGTTTTTTATGATTTGTAAGACCACACCGCGCAAGATCTCGAGTTACCTGAAATGTGACGGGGAATAACCGCGGAAGAAAACAAGAGACTTGTTTGGATTCACATTCTTATCGACCCAGTGACCCCAAGTCGTCAATGCTTTCCCAAAAGCTTCATCCACGTCGAGTTTCATGTACACATTGTTCCCTTCTTGATAGTAATCCTCACTAATTAAAGCAATCCAAACACCAATAAACAATGAGACAAAATCTGGGATCAAACTACAGTACTGTAGTTGAAAGAAAAACCTAACCCTTTGGAAGTTTTGTCATGAGTCCACCAATGTCCGGTGTTGAACACAAGAATATCCGCTCCTTTGTACTGCTCCGATGACTTTCCGACCAAATCTAGCCGCAAAGTCTCCTTCTTCGTCCCGTTCTTGTCCTCAACTTCCCATTCTTGAACCAAGAAAGGCGATGCATAGAACTCCACAGTGCAATTAAAATCCTATCGGACCATTAAATCATTTCGATGAACACTCGGAAACACAAACAAGTAATGAAACCATATTTTGATTGCTAAAAGAAGCCTACTTTGAAGACGAAAGAGTACTCAGCCTCCCAACGGAAACGATGCCTTCCATGAGCCTCAAAGACCTGACTCTCATCTTTCACTGATCCTTTAAGAATGCAAACCAAAGATTCCCACATGTTCCTGTTTAGAGAATCTCCAACAAACACTAGCCTTCTTCCTCTTATCATCTCCAGCAACTTGCCTCCGTTTAACCTTTCATACACACACATCAAATCAAATTATTTGCCTCAAACTAGATTTTAAAAGTCAAAAGAGTAAAATAAAGTTTCATGCTTTACCTTGGTAAATTGCATTTCGTAGGTTTCCACTTCAGTTTGTGGAAATCAACGTCGGGTCTTCCGTTGGAAATACAATTGAACTGTTCATCGATCAGATTACACGAACCGGGTTTGTAAAGCGGATACGAATCGTCTTTGACCCACTCTCCTTCGAAAAACTCGCAATTCTTCAGTGACTCGATCTCCCGTCTCATCCGCGACTTCCTACTCTGTTTCCTCACCGGAGAAGCAGTGGAATTGACGGCTAGATCCTCCGTCAGAGGTGCTTTCACGGCTTGAGGTTTGTCCAAATTTCGAGCAGTCTTGTTGTCAGGACGCGACATGTTTTCCCCTGCATGATTAGTCTGGGACAAAGAAGTGTTGGCTTTACTTGCTCCATTAGCCATTGGAGACTCAGAGGTTGCTTTTTTAGTAACCGGAGTGAGATTTTCCGGCGGCGGTGCTCGCATTGTGGTGTTTGCGGCAAAATTGGAATCGGTGATAGGGTTAGGGAGAATGTACGAAGAAACTGAAGGAGCGACAGTAATGGGAGAAGGGCTAAAGGCTAAGAAGATAGTGAAGGCGATGAATGTTACGACGAAGGCGTAGACGAAGGTGGAGGTTTTTCTTGGTTTCACGGCTGAGAAAAAGCTTTTGATTTCGACGATTAAGGAGGAGACGGCGGATACGCTGTGCGTAGGCATATGCTTGACGGAGTACGACGCCATGGCGAGGGAAGGAGAGAGTTGTAGAGGTTTTTCTTTTGGCGCGTGAAGAGTTTTCTCTCTTCCTTTTTCTGTCTCTTGGATTTGTGTTAAAGTTTAGAGAGGGAGAGAGAAAGATTAAAAATGGAGCTTTTAAGATTCGAAAGAGAGAGAGAGAAAGAGAAAAGTGGAATGTTGACGGAAGGAGGACTCTTTTTGTCTACAAGAGACTTGGGAGAGGTGTCTGTTCGGTAAAGTGACATTTGCATAGGAATCGTCGCAAAGTTGAGTTTTGTTTCTGTAATTTTGCCCCTTGTCTTCCTCTAAAATTACGAGGATGCCACTCTTTTAGTGACGTGGATTTTGGAATGTTGACAAAGTAATTAGTACTCGTGTGACTCGATCACTATTTCTATTTGGAACCAGTTAGTGACGAATGAAGGAAGCAAGTTTGGCAGTTATGTTGGCAAAGGAACAAGAAAACGACTAAATCAGATAAATTAGGAGCCGGACTGATACACGGAATGATTAAAAGGTAAATCGGTCATTTGGTTTGAATTTTAATTATTGTTTGATGTCTTATTATCAAAATAGATTGCATCCAAAATACCGGACGAATCATAATCATCCGGTGCGTTGTGATGAGAATACTCGAAATCCCATTAATGATGAGAATACTCTCTATCACATGAGATGATTAAAAAAAAAAAAAAAAAATTATTCCCGAAACGTTATTTTTTATAGACTGCATTAGTTTTAGTCTTTTAGAAATTCTAGTCTTTAGATGCAAGAAAATTAATTATTGGTCAACCATATTTAAAACGAATCGCCAGTTACAATTAATTCCACATATGCAATTAAATATTGGTTCATGAATTTTGGTTGGTTCATGAATATGGTTGACATTGGTTCAAGAACAGGGCTGATTTTAAGAATTATGGTTTTCTCCTTACAAAACATTACGACTAACACAAAGAAAAAGCTTTGAACCAAGCCGGTCAATTACATGTAGCTCACGCCATTTCTTATTATATGCAGGCTGAGATTCTGAAAAATACTACTCCAAATCATTTTTATTTATGCTGATTGCTGCATGCGCGGTAATTTATTAATTATAACAACTACTGAAAAGCTGAAAAAAGTGAAATGGATCATTCCTTTTTTTTTGTGCATTTAGATGATTGATCACCACATGGCAATGCCTACAAGCTATTACTTGACGATGTGTCCATTTAACCGCTAACAAGCGACATTGCCTAAACAAACGCGCCTCGTTAAAACTTGGATGAACATTTATGTTTCTAACATGTCGTCACGATGGTGTTATGGTCTTAAAATTAACAGTTATCTTATCTCAAAAGCAAACATTCTATTAGTGAAAGATTTTATGTATGCGCCATCGATCCAACAAACAGTTCAAGGAAAAACAATGACCAACGGATGCTGATGACCCATAGAAAGCGATTATATAAGTTCTTGGTAAATGCATTAACTAAAAGTTATAGCAAAAAAAGCTTAAAATTCATACATTTTGCATTGTTTATTTGTCCTTGTTTGAATTGAAATCATAATCAACTTATAGATGAAGCAAATGCTGATTTTGATTTATTTGATAAATCAAAACCATAAAATCAGATTCCAAACCCAAAAACTGCTCGGATCCTATGGAATATAAGATCTCTCCATCCTCGCTCAGTGTTTTCCACCACAGTAGCATTCCCATATCTGCATCAGTCAATGTAAAACATTAGTCAACATAAGTTACATCAATGGATCCATGTTCAACAACAGAGAAGACAGAGGCCATATATGACCAAGACACTTGCAAGCAACCATAAAGTTCAAACAACATAAGGAGGAATCACGAGAGAATATGAAGAAACGCATAGATTTTGAATGTGCTCAGACACTTAAGCTAAGCTAACAAGTGTTCGTATGGAACAAGGAAGTGTTCTACCATTAGCATAACTAACAGTTAGACCTAACACTAACAGTAGTCCCCGTAATTGGGAAATTTAGATGGCTAATGGTGATCAATAAGAGAGTTCTATTAAAAACCAAGCTATACAACAGCACACATTCCAAAAGAACTCAATTCTACCAAACACAAACAATGTCACTCAACACTTTTATGAATGACGAACAACCGTCATAAAGAGTTAAAATTTAGAAGCTCCAATCCACTTTTCCCAAACTCAAAAGCTTAGACTAAAGAATCAATAGCAACTCATTACAGTAAAGACTAGAAAACAGAAATTTCCTCGGGTGGCACTAACCTGTCTTCTTCAGGAACGTCAGTGTGAGTAAGATTGACGACGGTGACTCCTGGTTCAGGCTCATCGAAAGTGATCCTCACCTGAAATGTCAAAGGAAAAGAGTCAATACATCAACCAACAATCACATCAGAATCAGGGCACTATGTCTCGAAAATTAACAAAGAAAGCAACCACTAAACTAACCGTTGAATCAAGACCATCAGGCCAGCTCCCAAATCTCCACTTCTGGACAATCAATTTGCCTTCTTCTAGCTCCAGATTCATTCCGGTGACCGACCCATCGAAGACACTGATCGGGCCATTCACGTCTTTACTGATCCTAGCATTGCTCTGCGTGAAACCTTTCCAGCGATTCTCGTCCATTAAGATCTCATACAAATCCTTAGCTCTGCAATTAAACTTCTCAGTCATAGTAATCGTCTTGAACCCTTCCTTGGTCTTCGCCTTCTTCTTCTCCTTCACTACCTTAGTCTCCGCCGCAGCAGGTACAGAAGCACCGGACTTTTCCGCCGCCACCGCCACTGTAGCTGCTCCAGCCGCTGCTGGTTTCGGCGCTACTTTCTTAGATTCCAGCTCGTCCCTGCACGGACCACCTTTCGCCATGGACTCCACATAAACCCTAACCTTCTCCAGGATAATCGATTTGCCCTTGGACACCATCGCCTCCTTCAAGGTCTTCCCGATCGGCCCCTCGTCCTTGACCGAAAACCTAATCTCGGGATCTTCATCGGCATTCTCATCGGAGATGTACGGCATCTCCACCAACCCATCCGCCTTCAACAGCGTCTTCCCTTCGGAATCCTTTGCCTCACCTTCCCAGGATAGAGTGACATTAAGCTCGTAGCCAGGGATAATCTTCCCCTTGCGCACATTCACGTAAGCCTCGCCGTCGACCTTCTCGATCTTACTGACCTTGATAAACAGGTTTCCCTCTCCGGCGAGGATAACAGCGCCGGAGAATTGCTTGTTGAAGAAATTCCGAGACCACTCAAGGCAATTGGTTTCGGCCCAGTGCCAGTTGTGGACGTTGGTGCCGTCGGGTCTGTCCTCCACGATCCATCGCTTGTCACCTTCGCCAAACTTCGCCATGGACGGATTAGGGAGCTTAAAAACCTAAAAGGATTGATTGAGATTCAGCTACTGAGAGCGAAGCAGAGAAGTCGAATTTGCAGAGATTTGGGGAGAAGGAGCAGCAGCTGAAACTAGGAGAACCTAGATAAATAAATAAATAACGCAAACGAAGCCTCTAGAAAACTTTTTTTTATCTTTTATTTTTATTTGTTTTTCCAATTGAGAAAATTGGAAAAGATGAATAATTAACAAATAAATTTTGAAACGCGTTATTAGAACGAAGTGTCTAGAAAGTAGAACGAAACACCTCTTCTAGGGTTTCCTCCATTATCCTTCTCATTGCGGGAATTGGTTTTTCCTTTTCTATAATTATTTTAGTTGGAATAACAACATTGTTCTAATGGGTTTGAATTCCAATTTCATGGATATCAATAAGGTCACAAAACCGCAGTAAGAGCAAGGATGTGGATTATGTATTTGTATAAATTAAATAAATTGAGTGGATTAGCGTTTAGGTGAAAATTTGTTTATAATAACCGAGTCTAGCCAAAACTTAAAAGCTTAAATAGATTTGTTCGGACAGCAAAACAGCAAAACTATCATCACCCGCCAAATAACAACAACGAAGGTCAACGTCGTACACTTTTGAAAAAGTCAAAATCCTTTTGGTTTGAATTCGAGAATGAAAACGCCGGCTCGTCGATCGGAGCGGGTTGATCAGGAATCGGAAGCCAAGGTTACAACTCCAGTGGCCCTACGTGCACGAGCGAAGAAGAACTGTTCCAAGACTCGAGCGGTTCGGGTCAGACCCGAATACCCACTACTGACCCGTTCTTCCGCTGAGATGAAGCTATTGGCTCCCGAGTTCTTTCAAATCGACGCCCTTGATCTTGCGCCGCGTTTGCTCGGGAAGTTTCTTAGGAGAGACAACGTTGTGCTGAGAATTACAGAGGTCAGTGAGACGCGATTCTGTTCATGTTTCCTCAAATATGATTAATGGGGATTGTTTGATACTCTGATAAGAATGTTGGTAATTGGCTTTTCAATTTTGAAATGGTTATTAGGAAGATACGAAGAAACTAAAACCAAAGTTACTACTTTTTATAAACATCCGGAAAAGACAAAAAGCCTAACTTCTACTTAACTCTTAACCATGAAACTAAGAGAATCCTACAGCCTAAACTAAGCTAATAATACCCAATCTTATGATATATGATAATATGAAACACTTGATTTATAACGTTGCAGTGACTGTAATTTACAAACGACTTGAATGGAGAAAAAAATGCAACTTTCTTAACTTTGTTCCTCGTTGGGCAGGTAGAAGCTTATAGACCAAATGATTCAGCTTGCCATGGACGATTCGGGGTTACCCCACGGACCGCACCAGTTGTGAGTTTCTTCGTCTTGCTTGTTATCATCTAATTACTATATACAAATCACGACATTCTCTGAAATGTGGTTTCTTTTTCTTTTTTTCTAGTTTGGACCAGGAGGCCATGCCTATGTTTATCTTTGTTACGGTCTCCACATGATGCTCAATATTGTTGCTGATAAGGAAGGAGTTGGAGCCGCTGTTTTGATACGGTCTTGTTCTCCTGTCACCGGTAATAATCTGCTGGCGTCGCTACTGAAACTTTGTTCATTTCACTCTTGGCCTATCTGAGGCTCAAAGTTGTATGGGTATCTAAGCGTATCTTCATATATATAAAAAATGGCTTTATAGATATTTTTGTTGGTTTAAGAAGGTGGTGATGGTTTTGCAGGACTGGAGACCATACAGGAGCGTCGTGGCCAGAAAACAGACAAACCCGTTCTTCTTAATGGTCCAGGAAAGGTTAGTCTGATCTGTATCAGTTTTACACCTTTGCATCAATCCCTGCAAATCCACAGTGCAGAGATTCAGTTACTCTGCATTTCATCGATGAATCCTCTTTGCATAATCAGCCTTTAGCTATGCCTATTGCAGGTGGGGCAAGCGCTTGGACTTTCAACAGAGTGGTCTCATCATTCTCTCTTTTCTCCTGGTTAGTCGGCAAACCAAATCAGTTCATGGAGCTCTGGTTTTGCTCTCTCTCTCTTTAAGAGTGTTTAAGCTTTCTAGTAAATATGTATGGACACAGGAGGTTTGGAGCTCCTTGATGGAGGAGAAGATGTGGAGAAGATAATGGTTGGTCCTCGCGTTGGGATAGATTACGCATTGCCTCAACATGTCAATGCATTGTGGAGATTTGCCATTGCAGACACTCCATGGATAAGTGCTCCTAAGAACACTCTTAAGCCTCTCTAACTTCAACCCAAAAGCTATAACAGAAGAAAGAACTTCAATCTAATATTCTTTTGCTTTTTGTTTGGCCTCTCCTTTGATATTTGAATGTGTTAGGATATCACAAATAATATTCTATTTATTCTGTAAACAAAAATATATTAAATAATCATAACACTTATTAGAATAATCTATAAACATACAAACATATTGTTATTTTTTGGGGTAACAAACATATGATGTTTCCTATTCTCTGCGTAGATACTTTCGAAAATATGTTGTATACACTTTAGTTTCAAAGTATTAAATAGATTTAGGTTATTTCTAGTATTTTGTATCAAGATCTGCTGATTTTTTGCTCTATCATTTCTTACAAATATGGGCTGAGCCATTATATCGAATAAAGAAAAATGGCCTGAGCCAATATAATATATGGACTATGGGCGACGCTTACTCATCGTATAAATTAGGATTTCCTATATAAGAAACTGCACTATAAATTAAGCTTTCTACATATTCTCATCAATCTCAAAATGTGAAAACAAGAATATCTATAAAACCTAATTTATCATGCGATTTCTAATACGGAAAATTCTAATTTATACAATGAAGTAAGCCTTGACCTATTTTCGATATAATGGCTCCATCCATATTCTCCATATTTATTATTAACTCAAATCAAATGATAAACTTGATAAATTTATTAACTCAAATCAAATAAATATTTATTATCTATTAGAGTTTAATGGGAACAAAAAATAATAATGTGGAATCATCAGTTTTGTACAAGCAATGAACAATGCAATGAACAAAATAATAACAATTTGGAATCATCAATCTTGACTAATGACTACTGATCTTGACTATCTGATGATTTCAATGCAATGAGAAAAAAAAGCTTAGCTCTATGGCTTTTCCATGACATTAAGGAGTTTGCTGGTCTAACTGAAATAAATGAAAACAAGGAAATACATAATTTAAAAAGGACTAAAGTATGAGGTCAGATATGGCCGAGTGATGATATTTGCTGATCAAGTAAGTATGCAAAACTTCACATGTTTACAATTTGTGTATATGTTTGCTTGTTTTTATTTCTATTTAACGTTCTGTCGGGTACAAGTATCTCTAAAGAAGGCAGATAATCTTTATTGCTTGTTTTTTTTTCCATTTAACGAGATCTTTCTGTCGGATACAAGTACCTCTAAAGAGGGCAGAAAGTCTTTATTGTCGACTTCATGGTCGATGGCATGAAACCAGTTCAGCACAAGACTCTTTATTGTTTGTTTAAGAAAAATGTTGTAAAAAAAAAAAGAAGTTTCACGTTACCGCATTCCATGGTTACGTGTCAAAGCACTGTGCATATCATCACGGCGAACAGAGTCTTATCAATACAATATCATTGCTATGGCACGAAATTATGTTGGCACCAACAATGTTAACCTATTAGAACCAATAGGACAATTTGGTATACAATATTCGGTAAATATATAGCTGATAAGAGATATATATATATCATTTTGTTTCGACTTTCTTTTTTGTTTAACCACTATGGCCTATGGGGCAGAATAGTTGTATTTTATTTTAGTTTCCAACATTGCTCATCACATAAGGCAGACTCAGCAAAAAGCAAACGATTAGCTTGAAGGGCACGTCGACATTGACATGAATTCATCATAGAATTACATATTGTTTATGCTGTTTTTGTTAACAATTGTGATTTGGGTTTTGTATAGAAAGAGAAGAAGAGACAATGAAGAAGAGACAATGGGGGCAAATGTCGAATATTGTAAGGTTAATATTGGTTAAAAGTGAAAAACTCAGATGTTTTAAAGTGCCCCGATACTTTTCAAAATCCTTTATTTTGCCCTCGTTTGACTTTTCTAAATTCCTAATCAAAACAAATCTAAGTGTTTGTGTCGAGGAAAATCTCTGCAACAACAAATGGCGACTACGATTCCACTCTTCGCTTCTTTCAAGTACGCCGATAGCCTAACAGTCGTCGGAATCTCCTTCTGCACGGCGTTGGTCTGTGAAGCCATCTCGTGGATTCTAATCTACCGTACCAGCTCCTACAAATCCTTGAAATACTCCATTGACAAAGCGGCGAAGAAACTCGAGACGATGAAGACGGAGAACCCATCTTCGAAGCTCACCATTAAGAAATCGAAGACGAAGAAGATCGATCGCGTTGAATCCAGCTTGAAGGAATCGAGCCGAGATCTGTCTCTCTTCAAGTTCAAATCCGGCGCCGTCGTGGCACTGGTTCTCTTCGTCGTCTTTGGACTGCTCAATTCCCTCTTCGAAGGTAAAGTCGTCGCGAAGCTTCCGTTCCATCCCATCACGATCGTGAAGAAGATGAGCCACAGGGGACTGAAAGGCGACGATCCCACTGATTGCTCCATGGCTTTCCTTTATCTGCTGTGTTCCATCAGCATCAGGACCAATCTTCAGAAATTTCTAGGGTTTTCTCCGCCGCGTGGTGCTGCCGGTGCTGGATTGTTCCCGATGCCAGATCCCAAGACCAACTGATTCAATCAGCATCATCACTGTTTTTAACTTCTTCTGTTTTATTTTGTTGAGATTTTTGATGATTTTGCATAATAAGAAACATTTTCAAGTTTTGATCTCTTCTTTGGATTCTGATTCGATACGTTAATCAAAGAGACATAGTACTAGTAGTTCTCTCTTCATTAAATCTTCTTTACAAAATTATCAACAAAAAGTTAAGAAAAAAGAAGTCCCAATTACCGAAGAAATCGAGACTTTGTACAAACAAACACCAAACACAAACTCTGGAATCACTGCACAAGCATATCCTACTTACGTTGTCTTTTTCTTTTCTTCTCAAATCTCAAAATGATCGATCTGTTTGTGGTGTCTCTGATACAGAATCAGAGATTTCAGAATCAACTCCTTGAGATCTTCTCAACTTAGAAACAAGAACCCACATACTAGCAAGCTCATTCTCCAAATATGCTTCTCTCTGTTTCGATTCTTCTACGATCCTTTCAAGCTCAGCTTCTCTTTGATCTCTCTCAACAAGTGCGGCTTCATATGATAGCTCACGCTCTTTGCTCATCCTCAGTTCTCTCTTCAGCTCCATCGACGAGCTGTCTTGCTCTTGCCTCTTTACAAGACTCTCTCTTCTTCCATTGTTCCTTACATTTGTTGTTGTTCCTGTCTTATTACCACGCTGTGTGACTGGGCTCTTCTGTGTTGCTAGCTCAGCTGCTAGTCGCTCGTTGTGATTCATAAGCTTTGCAACTTCTTCAGATAATGCCTTGAGCTCAACTGCAGCTGCTGATGCAAGACCTTTTGCATACGAACTCTCCTCTGCGAGTTTCCTGTTACGTTGTTCTAATTGCTCTTTCGATTCGCTTAGTTCCTTGGCTTTCTGTTTCAGCTCTTCGATCTTAGTTTCCTTTCATGTCAGAAAGCAAATAGAGTTTGTTTAAGCATCAATATGAAGAAGATTGGTGAAAGTCGTGGTTATTGCATAAATAACAATGTTAACGAATTGTGTAAAGAGACCTGTGCTAGTTCCAGGGAATCAGAGAGCTGCTGCTTTAGGTTTGCGACCTCTTCTTGCAATATTTCACATTCACATGTCTGCAGCAAATACTTCCATCAGTGATTTAATTCTCTTACACATTATAAACCTAGTCTCGAAGCATTTCCAAAGACGCATGAAATCGAGGAGATAGATAAAGACAAAGCCTCTGAACCTTTTGATTGAGTTGTTCCTGAATGATGCGATTATCTGCAGCTTTAACCTGTAAACATGATGAAGGATGAGACAACACGTAGAGCATATCATTTGGCTTCATTGTTAATATAGTTTGGCCATTTTGACCACTGCTATTATTTGCAGAGAAGCAACTTTCTTGAGATGTGAGCAGTGATTACATTGAGATAAGAGAAATTATATTATCCAGGCAAAAGCAAGACCATCTCTAGGTGCTGAAGCAATAAATTAACATAAACAATTCAATCACCTCGAGTTCAAAAGATTTCTCATTAAGTTGATCCCTCAGCTCAGCAACTGCCTGAAGATAATAGAGAAATCGCTTGAGAAATGAACGACAGAAAAAGAAGTCACTGCATAACATTTGACAAAGTGAATCTACCTGCACGATGTCAGATTTATCCAATGCCTCATGTGATGTCATAACAAAATCCATGATTTGTTTCTCCAACGTGGCAATCTGCTCGTTCTTTGCCTTGATGTCATCATTTAGGGCTTTAATCTCCTCCTAAGTAAACAAAGAAAACAAGGAAGGTGAATGTTTGATAAATTTAAGCGACAGCTAGATAGAGGTCATGAACAGAGTGATTGTATTACTTTAATCTCTTCATTTTGAGGGGACCTCGCAGCGTCATCTGACAACCGTTTCAAAGAGCTTGATTGCAACGCCGCCTCCTCTGATAAAATCTTTTTCTGTTCCCTCAGAAGATCCAACTCGTCGACCATTTTATTGCTAGTCTGTGAACAAATGCACATAAATAAGTCTCATAAAACAGAGAGCGGGAATTGGAACGGATAATGATGTAGCTACTTTGGCACCAAAACAGATGTGAAAATATCTCTTATGTACCTCTGGCGTCTCCATTTCATGGGAACTATCTTCTCGAGCTTCTCTGTCTTCCCTAGGCTCTGAGAGTTGTTCCATCAAAGGCGATCCTTCTGAAAGTCTTGATTCTGTATGCAGATTACTTCCTCCCCCTTGAGGAGTTGATGGTGTGCTGTTGGATTTTACCACACTCGACTGGTCGCTGGCACTTGAACTGTTATCCCTTTTCTGATAGGAAAATGTAAGCTTGGATCAAGAAAGGCACCATATAATCAAAGAAGAAACTGCATCTAAGAGGCCACAAGGCCTTATGATTAGCAGTACTCTTTACTTATAGCGTTATTCTTTGAGCCACACGAGAAATCCAGAAATCTATAGTGTGTCCGTGATACATGTGCAACAGTACAAACCTATGCTTGCTAGGTGCAGTTCTGAAATGAACAAGAATATCCCACACCAAAATTATCAACGCTATCTAAGAGAATTCAGTCATTTGTATACCTTAGGCTTTAACCAATTTAACAATCCGTGCTTCCGGGTCTTCTTTTCTTCTCTATACGCAGTATCTCTAATCTCATGATTTCCCTCCACAGAAACATACAGATCAAGGTGCTCATCGTCCATCATGTCTCGCCTCTTGTATGGTAGGTAAGCAAGCTGCACATGCATTACCAACTAAGATTAGTC